TCGGCCTGGCGCCCTCTCCTTGGGCCCGGGCGTCCTGTGGACATCTCTGGTGGGAAGCTTGAGTCCAGGTTAGGAGGCAGAATTGGCAGGGTCCCCGCCCCAGCACTGTTCTCTGTCATAAACCTTTGAAATCAGACAGGTCCAATTTAGCTTTTCTGAGAGCTGTGTGATCTTGGCCCAGCCACCTTTCTCCCCAAGCTTGTTTCCTCACCTGTACGGCGAGGAGGGGCGAGAAGGGGTGAGAATACCTGCTCACGGTGCTGTGAAGGTCCTGTGAGCCCAGCAGGGCCCACCCTTGCCGTTCAGCTGTCCCTCACTCATCCCCACCCCATGTGGGCCCCTCCCAGTCTAACCCAGTCCTTGGCGCTACTCAACTCCATGGCAGCCAAAGCCCCAGGCTGGTCTTATTACTCTGCATCTTCAGGGGCCAACAGTGTAGTGTCGTCTGTGTACATGGAAACAGGAGCTGTGCTGTCCTAATCCAGATGGACACTGCCAGGACTGGTCCAGCCAGGGGTGGCCCCCATGTGGCTGTGGCTGGCATCTGGGCACCATTCATGGCTATGGCAAACACAGCTGGGCCACCCCTCCATTGACATCCCACTGCCACTCCCAGCAGGACCTCACAAGGAAGCCAAGTTGGGGTTAGCCTGGCTTCTTAGCCACTCTGGTGGTCCTATCCCTAGGCCAGGAGAGTCCTTCAACAGCAGACACTTCCCCATTCACAGTCAAGGAAACTGAGGCCCTGGGAAGCAGACAGACTTATCTGAGGCCACCCAGTTGGTAGGTGACAGAATCAGTGCTCCAAGTCTCCTGGCTCTAAGTGCCACATTCTCTCTCTTATACTGCAGCTGCCTGTCATGTGGCAGAGCTGGCAGGGCCCTCAAGCCTGGGTGGGCCACTGACAAAAGGAGCTAAGACAGATGAGGGAGGTGGAAAGCAGTAGGTGGTACTGGTAGCCACAGTGCCATCACGACCCCTCCTACATAATGGTGATCCCAAAGGAGGAATCAGGAAGGAAGAGCTTAGGTCCCCTGGGTTCTGCTATGTCCCTGTCTCACCTCACTGACTCTCTGGTGCCAGCAGATGTTGCTGGAGTAAAAGAAGAACCAACCAACAGTATAGCAGCCAAGACAGACCAGTGTGGGAATCTTGCCTCTACCACTTCTCTACTATATAATCTCATTCACCTTCTGTTCCTTCCTCTGTAAGAGTCCGATAAAACCCCCAGGACAACAGTGTTCTTACAACTCAGTACTCAAGCCCAAGCTCTTAGTTTAGCACCTAGCTAGTATGTACTCTGTGAACATTAGCAGTTTCATCAACATTTGAGTCAGTATCTCCTTCTTTGGCTATAAGCCAAGGGTAACCAAGATATGCTTCATAAGATTGTCGTATGGGCCAAGCAAAACACACATTCATTTTTTTATATAAAATTTAAATTCTATTGTAAAGGTGATGTATAGAGGGCTCCAGTTATGTAAGTAAGATAATGAGTTCATTTCTTTATGAACAGTTTTACCCCCTCCCTCATTTTCGCCTTTTTCAGTTGATTTTTACCACAAACTTCCTGGGTGTCCTGTTCCAGATGCTGGGACACTCAAAAACAGGACCCGTTCCCATTCTCAGGGCCTTAGGTCTGGTGTCAAGTCAAGAGTTGGTATACAAGTGATACAGACAAGCATCTGTTTGAATTGCTGTGACCACTATAGAGCGCTCTGCACAGTGCCTGGCATGGCCTCTGCCAGAGGTGGTTATTCTTATAATTTCACTATGCTTCATGTATGTAAATATTTCCTATCATGGACTAATATGACACACAAAGCTTCCCTTGAACCGTGATCATGTTTGTTGTGGGAGTGCAGGGCTATCTATGTGGTGGTTCCTCTTTGCAGAGGAGAATTGTGGGCATGTCAGTGGACTCCATCTCTCCATCTCTTATGCAGTAGTGAGACACTCGTGTCTCTAGGGTTCATGTAAGAGGGTCAGAGCAGGGGGAGGAGCTGTGCAGAAATGGCATGCTGTCTCTTGTAGGTGCACTGCTCTAGCCTCTGTATGTAGAGCACTACTGCTCAGAATCCTCCAGGACCACAGAACAAGCACAAGGGCCACATTGTCCTCATGGGGTAGCATAGGGGAGCCCGCCAAACGGAGGTGCTCTTTGAGAAGGGGCTGCTTCTCCTGTGTTTCCAATGTTGAATAGGAAAACACTGGAGCTGCCACCAGAAAGAGCTAGTAAAGACACCAGCACACGTGTGAGGCTCTGAGGCTGTGGGCAGCTCCTTAGTGTCTCTGTCTCGCCCTCCTTCTGGGGGGAATAAGTTCTGCCTTGTAGTCGACCCTCTGGCCTTACCCTGATTTGCAGTGTCTCTGCTCCTGGGCCTGCCCTCCTTTCGCCCAGCCTCTCTGAATCAGCAAGCTGGAGTGTTCGTGCATCTGGAACCCTGCTGCCTCATGGCCCACAGCCCTCCTTCCCTGCTTAGCACCAGCTTTTTGTTGTGGTTGAAGCAGTAATGGGATTTTCAGGATTGCCGTTGTGGAATCCTCAGGGAGTTGCATTTTTAAGAGGGAAGAGGAAAAGTAAAGTCAAAAGAAAGTATAAAATTGGTGGACTCAAACTTACCAAGCTTGGAGCTTCTATACAAGGAAAATTGTTTCCAATTGCTAAGATTTTGAAAATGGTGCCGCCAGGAAGAAAGGATGTGGATATGGCCCCTATGAGAAGTACTAGCATATGTTTCTGTGATTTAACAGTTTCCCGTAACAATGAGCTATTTTAGAAGCAGAGAAATGACTCAGAGCATAGTGGTCCACTGTAGTGACAGAGGAGGTGGAACGGGATTTGACAACCATTTCCATTTACCAGTTGTGTGGCTTCAAGCAGTTTATAAACCCTCTCTGAGTTTTCCTTTTCATCCTCTACAGAATGCATTGTTGGAAGGACACATAAGATAATAAATGTCAATGTAATTCTCTGGGTAATTCTCAACCATCCAGGCAAAACTCCTACACTAAGTATCAGGTTAATTCCCATGTCTGTAAAATCCTTAGTAATTTAATATCAACTCTTAAGGCTAAAAGTTTTCCTCTGATGACCACTTTGGCCAGAGCTATACTTTTAATATGTAGTGTTCTCATTGTCATGTCTTCAAATAGATCTTTTATTTTAGGGTTTTTTTAACCTATAAATTACTGATGAGTGTGTATGTGTATATGTTTTCAAGTAATTAGAATTTTCCTATATTTAAATCTTAAGTTTATCATAGGATAGTCAAAAATAATGTGAGACATTTAATTTTTTAGGACTTCACAACCTACCTACCTTCCTTTTCTTTTCTTTTTTCAGTACTGCAAAAAAAAATCAGGCCCTTGGTACTTGCTAGGCAGGCATTCTGCTTGAGCCGTACCCCCAGCCCTTTTAGCTTTAGTGATTTTTTAAAAATAGGATCTTGCCTTTATGCCCAGGCTGTCCTATACCAAGATGCTCCTATTTCCCATGTAGTTGGGATGTCAGGCAATACTGTTATGCCCAGCTTTTATTGGTTGAGAAGGAGGTCATGAATTTTTTTTTGCCTGGAACCTTGATTCTCCTGACCTCTACCTCAAGAATAGTTAGGATTTAGGCATAAATCTATGCCCAACAGTGAGCTTCTCTTTGTAATATAGTATAAATCAGATTTTGTAACTTTTCCATAGGTATTTGAAAATAACTGATTTTTGTTTGTTTGTTTGGTTTTTGTTGTTGTTGTTGGTTATGGGGCTTGAACTCTGGGCTTGGGCGCTATCCCTCAGCTCTTCAGCTCAAGGCAAGTGCTCTACCGCTTGAGCCACTTCCAGTTTTCTAGTGGTTTATTGGAGATAACAGTCTCATGGACTTTTCCTGCCCAGGATGGCTTTGAACCATGATCCTCAGATCTCAACCTCCTGAGTAGCTAGGATTACAGGCGTGAGCCACTGGTGCCCGGCAATAACTGTATTTTTATTTATATAGAACCAAGTTTATAGATTTTGTTATTATAATACTATATCATAGATACACACATACCAATGTACATATACATGTGCATATATAGGCACAGATATGTTTATATGCATATGTGTTTGTGGCTTTGTTGAATTCACCTTCATTTTTAGCAGTTTTTTGCTTAGTGGGGTTTAGTGAGATGGTGCTCCATGAACTTAAATTTGAAATCAATGGATCTTCTCCATCAGCTGGGTTTTCACTGATACCATCTTTCCTTGTTTGCCCTGCACTGCTTTATAGGTGGGACCACAGAGAGCTGCTAGAAACACATGTGGCCCTCTGTCTGCCCACATCTCCAGACAGACTGAAGTACAGCTGAGCTGTGGAGCCAGTCTTCTTCCCTCTCCCCACAGAAGACTTGTCCTGAGGCCCCTCACCTCTGCATCACTGACCTGTCATAGTCATGCTTTCATATCATATAACTTACTTTCTTATTACATGCCTTTGAGCGAAGTCTCTGGCTGGTGTTAATTTTTGGACTGAGAAGTGTCCCGTTTTTCACTCAAAGACTGGTACTTTACAGTTTAAACCACACCTCTCTTTCCAGATGTCCCATTTTAAATTGCTTACTTTGTTGCTTAATTAATTTGTGTTTTTTGTGATTGTGTATGTTTGTATTCTCCTGTACATGACACCTTAGACCTACTAAGCATTATTAGTTGAAAACCATCAATATGTATCTTTTTCAGGTCCATTTTATCTTACTTTGTTACAAGGCAAAGCTTATTGTTGGAAACTGTGTGAGCCAGAAATGCTAAAACTCAAACCCACCAGCATCATTTTGGTTGTTGCTCAGATGTTTGATTTATAGTTGAGCAGTCTGTATGAAAACTGAGCAGTCAGAATTGGAATTCAAGCCCAAATAGTGTCTCTGGTTTCATGCTTTCTTCCTTCTTACAGAGCAGGGCTGCTTGTGCTCATCTCTTGTGATTAGCCATGCACTCTTTCCATAATTAAATATCTTCTTTAATTTTAGGGATCTATCTTCTGGATTTAATCTACATTGATTCTGCATATCCTGCCTCTGGGAGCATCATGGAAAATGAACAAAGATCCAATCAGATGAACAACATCTTACGAATAATTGCTGACTTACAAGTTTCCTGCAGCTACGGTGAGTACCCTTGGTTGTTGGAATTATGAAACCCTGTATCATTGAAATTTGGATCCGGCATCTTAATCATTAGAAAGCTCCAGAAACCTGGCAGTCCTCACAAAGCTCTTTATTTTACAATCTTCTGTTCCAAATGTTTAGCAGATCCTCTACACATCGGTTTGATCTCTGTGAACTAGATAGGATTATTGCTATATTGCAGATGGGGAAAACAAGCCAAAAATGGCTTAGTTACTAAGAAGACTGTTCAGTGAGTGTAGAGCTCAGATCTGTGGTTTCTGGGGCACTCATTCATGAAAGGCTTGGCGGGCAGTTCTCAGGTGCTCTCCTCCAAGCAGATTTAGGAGGAGACTCCTTCCACCTGTGACTCTGCTGCCTCCTATCAGCCCAGAAGCCTCCACATATGCACCCAGGTGGCAGCAGCAGAAGACAGAGAAGCATACAGGGTGGGTTTTATGGGCCAAACTTGCAAAAGGTATACATCATTTCTGTCACAGGAGGCAATGCCATATACCCTAGCTGTGGGTATGAAGGAAAGGGGGAATGACTTGGTAAGCCGCTGGCCAGGCTCTGCTACACATGGCCAGATCCATGTGTCACCACCTGTAACAGCAGGTGCTGGGAATGGATGGAAGAAAGGTTATTAGAACTGAGAAGTCAGAATGCTGAATCCACGAAGACACTGATTTCATCCAAGAAGATGGTAGATTTATGAATGTGGAACTGAATTGTGAGCCATGTGCCCTACTCCTTTATGAGTGGGTGCAAGCCACCAGGCAGAAGTCATGAACAACAGAGGGGAGAATGTGCCTCTCTAAAGCAGGGGTTTCACAAGAGGGTAGAGGAGTACAAGTCTGGGTGAACCAAGAGGGTGAAAGAAACAAGCCAGCCCCACCTGCACGCACAGGGTACGAGAACTATAGCATCCATTTAGGAGCAGCACAGTGGAGCCAGGGTGGGCTCACACACTTCCCACGATGGGATGGCAGATCCACAGTCCAGATCAGGTGAGCACTTTCTCTCCCAGTGCCTCAACTTACAGACAGGCCAGCACCTTGTCCCACTGGCCATCAGAACAGTCATAGATACTGGACATAGGGTCAGGCAGACTCACATGCTGCCACTTGAAGTCATTCTGTCCTGTCCAAGCTCACTTGGGTGTGAAAATAGGCTATGCTCTTGCTAAGTCCTTAGTGCAGTCCCTCACATTACCCAGAGTTCAGAGAACATTGCTTTTCCCACTGTGATTCCTGCGTGCCCCCCCCATGCCATCCCACCCATCATCAGCTTGTAAAGCAGGTGTCATTGTCCTCTTTTCAGAGACAAGGACTGAGGCATTAAATAAACAAAACAATGTTCAGAATCTCAGTTTAGAGGCTGGCCTTCAAGATTCTCAAAGCCTAGAAAATGAGGGCTCTCCCTACTCCTCTGCTCCATTCCAAGCCCTCCTCTCCCTCCGCCTTCCCCTTGACATGTCTGTTGCACCATAGAACCTCTCAGGAGTGCAGTGACCATGAGGGTCAGGGGAGAGGGCCTGGTGTCAGTCACTCTATGAAAGAGAAGCAACATAAGCTTGAGATGACCTGGGGTCAATGCCCGGCTCTGCCACTCAGCAATGCATCCTTTGTCTGTGGTCTGTCTCTTCCTGTGGACAATAGGGACATTATTTCTCCCACATAAGATGTGGGGTGAAGATTAGAACAAGTGGTCACTGCAAGTCACCTTGTGTAGATCCTGGCTCTGGTGTCAGGCCCCTCCTTTCTTCTCAGGACTTGAGTTGATCAGCAGCTCCAGCCACAGCTACTGTCTCAGTTGAGCTCTATGGGTCTTTCATTGGTGTCACACACATGGTAGGCAGTCACGGGGGCTTGTCGGTTATCCCTAGGCGAAACCTGGTAAAGGAACAGATTCCCAGTTCTGGTGTGATCTGGAAGTGGGCACCATCTTTTCCCAGTTTAGAGCTCTGAATGGAGGCCTCAGCTTCTTGGCTAGAGAACTGGGAGAATCCAGAGGGAAATCAGTGGGCCACTACTTTGGGCTCTGAGACTGGAGCCTCTGGGGTTTTTTTGGTATTTTTCAGATCACCTTACCACCCTGCCCCACGTGCAGAAGTACCTGAAGTCAGTTCGCTACATTGAAGAGCTCCAGAAGTTTGTGGAAGATGACAACTACAAGTAAGTCCCCTCCCACTCCTGACTCTGGCCTACCCAACTCCAAGTGCTGTTGTCCTCAGCACTTGGATCCCTGTGGCAGCCTGGTCCTTATTGGGACCAATGAACAGCCTGGTGCAGGTCTCCCAGGTCCCATTACCCACAACGCTTCAGGTAGTGAGACCACTCCCTGAACCCACAGCAATCAGCCCCCATACCCAACTTGCCCCCACCCACAAGGCCCCTGGCCCAAGGCAGCTGTTGGTTTATGTCTCAGTGCAGCCTTCTCACATGACCTTGGAGGTATGCATGTGTACTTCACACGAGTCATGGCACTGGCTTGCATCTCTGTTTCTTGCCAGTGGTGGCTTTCTGGCTATATCTCCACACGAACAAGCAGAGTTCTCCATGTTTTGTAGATCTCAGTTCCTTGCAGGACTCTTCTGTCTTGCACTGGCCATGGCCTCCACCACTATTCCTGTGTCCCCCACCCCTACCCCTTATAGGTAGACCCTCTTCTTAGAAATAGCTCTGTAGACCCTTTGGTTCGTCTTCTACTTGGATTCATCTTTCCTGCTCTGATTCTCAGTTCCTTCTTCATTGGTGGCCTTGGGAATTTGTCCAGCATTGCTTTGCATTCGGGGAGAGGATGTTTTGTTGCCATATTGGTTGAATGTCCTCTTGGCTCCTCTTGAGGTTGAAGTCAACTAAGAACCTCCATTCTTTGTCAAAGAACCTGATAAGAAACAGGGCTCAGAGAGCAAAGGAAGAAAGGGGTGACACTGCCAAAAAAGAAATATACTGATTACCTGACTTATGAAACAGTAACCCCTCTGTACATCACCTTTATAACAACAATAAAAAAGAAGAAAAGAAAAAAAGAGGCAAGGCCCAGTATCTTGAAATGGATCATTTGCCATCTAAATGTCACTTTATAGGTATTTTTCTATATCTTGTCTTACTTGTCATAATGTTTCCAGTATGCCGCAATTTCTTTGAATCTTCTAGTTTGTCCCTACACAAAGCTTATCTTCCTGATTCCTTGGTATTTATCTAAGTCAGCAAAAGCTTCCAAAACCTTAGCCACTAGCATTGCTCAGGAGATTTGGGGAGGAGCTATTTAGTGTCCACCTGAAGGAGACACCTGAGCTCTGAACAAGAGCTCACCACTCTGGCTGTGTGTCAGGTCAGGGCTACCTGAATAAAACACTTCCTAACTACCCAGGCATGTAGTGTAGAGACAGAGATTCGTCTTTTCTCATAGCTCCCTGTGTGGTTCTAAAGATCTTTGGGAACATAATGTCTTAGTTATTATTATAAAATAATTTGTCATAATAAAGAATAATATAAAATTGTGATCTATTGCATAATAATAAAAAACACAGATAAAAGCTAGAAGTCACCATTAAAATTATGTTCATCACAAACTGAGCTCATTTTATTTACAGAGCATTTGCTGTTCCTAAAAAGAGTGGCCTGGAGTGTGAAATTATTCCCACTTAGTTTCTGGGATAATATTTTCCATTCATGTACCAGTTTTGTGATTAAAAAGACAGTAGTTTTTCATTAACATTAATATGCTTTAGAGAGAAAAGGGTCTATAAATACTTGTGACCATGAGACAATCCTTGGCAAGCTACAGATTATGAGTAATTACTCCTTCTATTCTGAAGGACATGAAGTACCCCTAGGTTTGCAGCCAGCCTGGGGTTTACAGAGGCCCTTTGTTGTGGCCAGAATGGGAAAACCCAGAAAAGGGTCCTATTTGGAGTGGCAGGAGGTAGGGAGCCTATGAGGATCAACCAGTACACAGTTCCTAGACAACTCACATCTGGAAGCTGGCTCTCCACCCCCAAGGCTTCAGGCTTGGTCAGACATCGATGACATTGTACTTCCATCATCCTGTCCCAATCTGCTTTGAGAAACCATACCAAGAAGCCCAACCAATGCTTTGTCTTCCTTAGCTGTTAATCTATTTTATTGATTTAAAATTACCCGAAGTCCAACCACCAAGAAAGCATGTCCATTATATATACATAAACAAGGATAAATGGATTCAAGTTGTGGACAGTACTAATAGAGCTACTTGGGAGGCAGAGATTGGGGAAGAACACTGTTTGAAACCATTGTAAGTAAAAACCTAGCAAGACCCCATTTCAAAAAATAATCTGGGTGTGGTGGTGCATAGCTATAATCCTAGTTAGAGCAGAGGCATAGGGAAGAAGATTGTGAGCCAGGGCTAGCCCAGGCAAGAAGTGTGAAATATAACCTGAAGCCAAAAGGGCTGAAGTGCGGCTCAAGTAATTGAGTAATTGATCAGCAAGATCAAGGTCCTGAGCTGAATCTCTAGCACTGGCAAGTAAATTTGAAATGTTGGAAAAAGTCAGATCATATTACCCTTGACTTTTTTTTTTTTAAGATGTTTTGCATGAAACCCAGGGCCACTTTTGGACATGGTAGGCAAGCACTGTACCACGGAGCTACATCCCTGGCCCTACCCTTAGTATTGTTAACCTAAAATACTTATTTAATTTTTCATTGGCCAGGAAAAGGAATGGAAATAAAAGGCAAGGAATTGCTGTTCTAAATATTTCTGTATTTCAAGAGGTATTATTTCCTAAAAGAATGTTCTAAAATTTATAGTAGGAGTCAGGAAAAACACAAGGAGGCCTGAGTCAGTCAGGGTCCTCATAACTAGGTTTCCCCGTTGGCTCTGGCTAGAAACTGTTAGCACTGCCGATCCTCCCACTCCTCCTACTCCTCCTCCCCTTCCTTCTCCTCTTTCCTCCTCCTCCTCTTCAACATCTTCCAGATCTTTGTTAATTGTGCTATTTGCGCATCACTTAGTCCAAGTTTATAACATTAACACCATGTTAGAGATCCTAGTTCCTACCGTTGCATACTTTGAAAGAATTCGTTCTTACCACCATTGTTCCTCGGCAGCTTCTCTGTTCCTGTAGTCTGTATTTTACATCAATCCCTTATTTAGCTGGATTTCATCAGGAACCAGGGTCCTCCCCTTTTCTCCATCACAGTTCCTTGAGTTCTCCATGGAAACGTGTGTGTCCAATGGGCCTGGCTTTGCCAGCCACCCTCTGCTCTCCCCCAAGCCTGAATTCCCTGCCTTGTGCCTCCTGGCACTGGATTCTGTTGTAGGCATTCTCAATTGTTGGTTGTTTTCCCTCTTGAACGTAGTTTATAGACGAGGTGCCTTGGAGGGTGATGAGATCTGGGAAGTTCAGAAGCTCAGGTTGGGAAGACCTCGGAGTAGTGGGTCCTTTACAGAAAAACCTCCCTTCACTGTGCTGGGCTTCTCTCTCCACTGCAGATGAGCACCAGTGGTGGTTGTCTGGCTTCTTCCGCGTCAGCTCTTGGCTTCTGTCTCACAGAGATCATGTGTTGGGTGTTCTCTGCCCTCTGAAGCTGCAGTCTCCTCCTCAGTTTTTGTCGGTCCCTGGGTGGTCTGTTTCTACTGAGATATTCCACCAGCCCTCTCTGGTTTCAGTCTTTGATTTGGTCCTTTCTGTCAGTCTCCATTTCATCTGATTTCTTTGTTTCAGCATTGCACTTTTCAAGTTTGGTTTTGTTCAGCTCACATCTTTGGTGAGTCTTTCTTCTACTTCAAACACCTGAGGGGCTCTCCTTGTCCCCAGGCCTGCCTCCTGGGTCCAGCCAAGAGGCAGCACTCTCCCTTCCTTTCTCTTTCCATCTTTGATGATTCAGGGTCTACCATGTTGCTGGGCCCTTGTCTCCATTTTACTCCCATCCACCTTCTGTGGCGATGCTTGGGTGGCATCTGCCTCTTCTCTCATGTGTGCGTGGGGGTTCCCTCCTGCTGGATCCTAGGTGCCCCTCTTCTGGGGATGAGCCTGAAGGAATAGGAGGCCTACCCCTGCTTCATATATGTGGGCGTGGGGTGTCCTTCACCTCCTGGGACTCTCTCCACACCACAAAAGGACACGCCACTTTGCCAGTCATGCTCCTTGGAGCCTTCCTTTCCATCAGAAAGACCCACATGTTAGCCCATGAATTTGAAGAAGGAATCTGCTTAACCATTTCTCAGTTTCCTTGACTATGAAATGTTCTTTTTTGCAGGATTGTTGAGAGAACTAACACCACTGCCCATTTATCTGCCTTCCAGACCCCTGCTTCCTCATCATGGAAAGCTCTTTGAGACATCAGAGGGAGGAGGGCTGTGATCAGGAGCAGATCTTACACACCTATACACACATATACACACACACACATCCTGTCCCAACCCCCTAGGGCCTCTCTGATCTTATAAAAATCTTTGTTTGCAGACTGTCGCTCAGAATTGAACCGGGAAGCAGCTCCCCAAGGCTGGTCTCCTCCAAGGAAGATCTTGCAGGTATTGTAACTACTCCAGTGGGAGCAAAACCACCCAGATCCCAAACCTCGCTGCTGGGGGGCCGGGACGGGGGCCTTGCTCAACTGATTCCTTAGAGTGGTAGACTCAACTGTCTGCTCACAGACCCCTGCACGCATCAGACAGGTTTCTGAGAGCTTCTCTGACCCTGGAGGAGCTTGGACTGAATAGCCCCAAGTGTCACCCCCGAGTGAAGAGCATATGTGAAGTAGAGGAAACCCCATGATCTCCTCCAGGACACTTGGACCTTTGTCATCAGGGCTGTACCCCAGCACACCCAAGTCTGGATGCACAAGACACCCAACATATTATGCCACCCACCAGACACTGCCTCGCCTCCTCAGGCTTCAGATTTATTTACTTAATGGGGAAGCATACCTGCGGGCATTCTCCCCCCACCCTCCCCTCCTCCACTCCTCTATATTTCCTCCTTGATTATGAGAACCTGAGCTCTGTTGTTTCCTAGCTGTGTCGCTTACACAGGTCTTCAGAGGCCTCTTCCCTGGGATGGAGCTAAGACTGGATTTCTCAGCATAGGGTTGTTGTGATACCTGGACAAGTGCAGGTCTTTAAAGTGCTCTGCCTGCACCAGCGTGTTGTAAAAGTATGGGCAGCTGTTTAGTGCTCAGGAAGAATCTAAGGGAGCACCAAACATGGCCTCCTACTACTTTGAGCTCATGGTCACATCAACCTGGGTTCTAAGCCATTGAAGCCTTACACAAGTGACTTCACTCCTCTGGGCCTCAGTTTCCTTGCCTGTGAAATGGGATCAGTCTCAGGAATGTTGGAATGTCAGTCTGGAAGATGACAACCACATAGTGTGATCTATGGTAATTGTTGGGAAGAGCGGGCAGCTACTAGATGCTGCCTAGCCCCAGCCTTCAGCCTGCTCAAACCACCCATATACATTCCAGCTGAGGACAGGTCCCAGTGGACTAGGACCCCAGAGCCCACAAAGCCTCCTGCCATCCTTCTTGCAAGGGTCCTCTGCCCACCTCCAGGGTAGGCTTCTAGCTTCTGTGTCTTTCCATTCTCACTTTTTCTGACCTGTGAAATGCACCCTGACCTGGCACCCAGACTTGGCAGAAGGAAATCTCAGAGCCTCCAAAGATCCTGTTGTCTACAACTTAGCACCAGGTTATCATGGTACTGCCCAGAGCCTGATTTTCACAGGGTTCCCCCAAGCCAAGTATTAAAAAGTCTTTGCAGTCTCTTTTGGAACCCATTCCCTCCTTTGCTGAAGCAGGGGTGACTGAGGGAAAGCCCCTGGCACTGTCTCCACCTTCCCATCTCTGTTCTTGTTCTAAAACCCTCCCCCAGTGGACGTATTCCTCCACAATGCTCGGTTCTGCACTATACACTTGTAAAGCGGGTACAGCACCCAAATCCCTCACAGGGCTGCTATGGGAACTTACTAAGGTCATATGTATAAAGCAGCCGAAGCCTGGCACTGAGCATGCTCACTGCGTCATCATCAATGGTTGTCAATGTTATGCTGCTGTCACTGAATCATTCAGCATTTAGTTAAATGCCACTGCCTCAGGGAAACCTTTCCCAACCCTCACCTCACTCCTGGACAGGCCAGCCTCTGCTCACAGGGACGTAAGCTCTGGCCAAATCTGGCTCATCCTGATTCTCTGTAGAGGGAAACGTGGCCACGTGGCTGACATTTTTGTCTGTGGTTTTTTTGTTTTGTTTTGTTTTGATGTTGTTGTTTTGTTTGGTTTTGTTTTTTCTTTTTCACACAGCAGTGACAGAGTTGAGTAATGAGAACAAAGATCTTATGGCCTGCAGTGCCTAAAACTAGTTCCTGACTGGGCTGTCAGAGGTTTGCTGACCCTTGTATCATACCTTTCTGCAGGCAGCTCTCCGCAGCCCCCTCTTCTGGATGGGCCTGTCTCCCAAGCCAGCCAGCCGTGTATTCCTTTGCTCCACATCTGTCTTCCCCACCAGAGTAAAAGCCCCCCGTGAGGGACTGACCTAGTGTGGAATTCCTAGAACCCAGCATGCTCTGGGTCAGTGCCCATGGTCAGCTGCTCTCCCCTTAGCCCCAGCTGGGAGCTCCTCACTGGGCCCCATGGGCACCTATCCTTGGAGGCAGGTCTAGCACGAGCCAGCTGCTGACTCCGCACAGCCTTCCGGAGAAGTGCTGAGGCCAGCAGTTTCTGCATGAGGAGTGAGTCCCGTGCACAGGAGTGTTTTCCACTAGCTTTCCATATCCCTGGCCTCAGCCACGGAAGCAGGATGTGAAGGCTGGGGAGTGTCCGGGAGACTCCCATGTGATCAATGACCCCAGCTTCCCTGACAGCCAGCTGCTGCTGGGGCAGCCAGGGGGTCCCAAGAGGGCAGGGCCCAAGAGCCAGCTCCAGGGAAGCCTTTCTGGGCCTGGCTGTTAAACTGAGCCGCGTGGCAAGAACCTGAACAGACTCAGGGCCAGGAATATTCCTCTTACAGTCCCAGGAATGGGAAGAACGCAGATTCCCTCAGCCCCTGGGGGTGGGAGGGGGGTGGTGTGGGTGTTTGGCTCCAGCTTAGGGCTCTTTCTAGTAGTCACACACCCCTACACCTGCCGAGGAAAATGTTCCAAGATGTACTTCTTTGTTCACTCATGCTACCCAGGCCTGCATAGGCCACTCCCTTGCTCTGAGCCAAGTGCCTATCAGGAACAAGACAGACACCCATGCCTCAGCTGGGGACACTGCAGCAAAGCCAGGAGGGCTAGAACGTGCAAGTTTGGAGCCACAAGGAGGCCAATGTAAGACAACCAAGATGGCTCAGGGTGGGTGGGCCTCTGAGCCTTCCCTAACCAGTTCAAGGACTGGGAGACCTTGGCCTGCAGTGAGTGATAGCAGCCGTGATCTTGAATGCCTCCCCAACCTCAGAAGTGGTTCCTGAGTTGTGCTGTTTCCCTGGTATCTCCACCCCCCCCGCCCCCCCGCTCCCCCAACAACTTTGCACTCTTGGGAAGTGGCCATATAGGCAGTTCTGCCTTCCACAGGCACATTGTGAGAAAGGAAATGGAGAAACCTTCTCATTCCTGGGTCTGTGGAGAAACGAGTGCAAGAATGCCACGTTTTCATTTCTCCCCTGCATGTAACATTTAGTTTGTACAAATGAACTAATATTTTCCTGACAAGAAAAAAAATCATACAGAATGTTGACCCCCAGGGAGGGCAACGTTTGTGTGTGCCTTGGAGCTGGTAAAGACATTTCCAGATTGACTGACCCCGCCTCCATGGCTTCTCAATGGACAGGTTTCCTCTGGAGACTCCTGGGCAGCACTCAAGTCCAGAAAAGCTCAACCTCAGCCTTAACTCTTTGCACTCACATCTCCGGGACTGCTATATGACTCACTTTCTGTTTCTGTTTTCTTGCTGGGTGGCAAGGACCCTGCTCTGGGGTCAGGCAGACCTAAGTTAGAGCCCAGCTACAGTATCTGAGCTGTGGAATAGTAGACAGTTGGTTTGATCCTTCTGAGTCCCAATTTCTCTGGGAACAGGAATGTGGCATGCAGGCTCACACCACAGGGCTGCTGGGGGAGGCCCCTTGAGGTGATATCAGAAATCCTGTGCTCAGGGCCTGCATGCACTGTTTCTCCTGAGGGTCGGCTTCTGGCTCCCAAGCATTGCATGTGGGAGGCTATGAGGCAGTACCAGGACATTGCACAGGGAGTTCAAGGGTCACATTCTAGCTCCAGCTCAGGTGCTCACCATTGGTGCCAGGGAACAACACACCAGTTTGTGACACACAGCCATTCTGTATGTCAGAAGATCAGATGGGGCCAGGGCTAGAGTCCCCTGAAGGTATCTTTACTCACATGTCTACTCTTGCTGCTGGTTGTGGCTGGGCCTACGGTGATGGCAGAACATATATACCTGTGGCCTTTCCCTGCGGCCTGACTTTCCTCATAGGACAACACTCTGAAGGCATCGGGCTCCTGCATGGCAGCTGCTCTCCTCCAGAGTGATGTCGCTGGAGGGCAGGGAAGGAGTCACATGGAAGCATCTCTGTGAGCCAGTCTCCAGAGTTAGGCACCAGCGGCCACTGGGTCCCACAGAGGCCTGCTTGGGTCCAAAGAGAGAGGATAGAGACCCTGCCTCTCAATGGACAGAGACGCTGACTTTGTGGACCACCTCAGCCAATTCCCATGGAGGAAGCAGGCTCACCACCTGCATCCTCATTCCTGTGTTGTATTGAACACAGATTCTGCCCAGCACCAGCCTTAAACACTGCCCATATGTTCACTCAGTGCCCAACACCTGCCTGGGAAATGGGCCAGGGCACTTTGGGCTCTGTCCCTGTTGTTCTGCACACCTGTGCAGAGCAAGTCAGCACCTGCCCCGGATGACAACCGGAGCACGTCCCAACTTTTCCTTAACTTTGAGTCACACACAGTCCCCACTGCTCCCACATGCTAGATAGTATAGGAATCAGACTCCAAGCCTGATCTACATAAAGTCTCACCTTTCCCAGTGGAATGCTTCAGCCTGACTGCTTATGGCAAGAGGTCAGGAGAGCAGGGCCTCTGCCCTCAGTCCTGGTAGGGCACTCACAGCAGTGGGTGCATGGCCTTCCAGGTGGCCATCAATGATGCTATGCTTCCTCTTCGGGTTACTCTCACTTGTTCCAGAGAGACTACAAGTCCAGCCTAGGCAGGTGCTAATACACTCCAGGAGCTCTGAGGCCCTTTCACAACTCCTTACAGTGAACTGCTCACCAGCGGCTTCTTGCTTGGAGCCCTTCCATCCCTTAATGACATGCCAGCTTTATTCCCAGGAGCCATCTCAGCCCACAGTAGACCTTAGCACCTAACAACTGTACCTCTGAGCTGTGGGAACCTGGACAGTTGGTTCAATCTGAGTACTCCTGGTTTGATCCTGGCGAACTTGAGATCAGAGCCCATTCTCCTGTGACCACCCTGTCCTCTGGCTGCAGCCATCTTGGCATCTTTAGGCCTAAGGGAGGCACTAAGAGTCTAAGCCCATGATTGGCCCACAATAGACAACCCCCTCCACTACCGCTCTGCTTGTTGAAGAAGAGAGCAGCTGATGGGCAAGAAGTAGCGGCTGTTCCCTCTCTGTAAGCTCTTCTGTCTGGGGACTTTTCGGTGTTCAGAATGGGTGAGGGGAAGTTGGACTAGGAAGCCAGTCAAATCAAGGTCAAGCAGAGGAGCCAAGACTCAACCCCTTTTGTCCAACTCCACTATCCTGCAGTGGCCCCCTGGCAACCTCTCCTCCTGCTCCCTGTGGTCTTGGAGTCTGTACCTTCTGGCTCCAGGGGAGCCAGAGCACTTGGCAACCTCAGCCTAGATGAATGATTGGACACTATTTTTCAGAAAGAAATGAACCCAGGCCTTCTTGAGAAATAAACCTGCCTATGGTGTGTGAGACACACACCTGGCTCTCAAGGCAGGACCGTGACAGCTGCGTGTGTGAGACTCACAATGCATGTGAACATAGCAATGATCAGCCAGGCCCCACTGAGAAGCAGGGGCTAGAGAAGGGGTTCCACAGGACTTGACAACTCTGGCAGACCAAGAGGGCTTGAGCCCCCAGCCCACAAACAGAAGACTCTGAAAGGGAAGCAGAAAGCCAAGAACGAGGAAGCTGACCATCTTGTGTACCAGAGGCTATGCTGATACACTGGTGGCTGCTCCTGCAATGAAGAAACATGCACCCAGGAGAAGTTGCATGTAAGCCCAGGGCAGAGGCAGGACTAGAACTCAAGTCTTGTGACTCCGAGTTGAGTACTTTCCCCTCTGCCACAGCTGCCTCCTGTTAATTTGCAATGTATGAGACTTGTGCCTATTGGAGCCTGCTGAAGTCACTAGCCCTGGCCCAGGGTTGAAGTTCTGGGTAGGAAGTCCATGGGAACAAGGTTCCCTGGCTACTTCTGGGAAGCTCTGAACGACATGCCTCCACACCGGACTTTTCCCTAACTGGCACCATGAATGCACTGTCCTCTGCATACCTGCTTGGCCAGCTTCCTAGACACCTACCCACCTTCTCTACCACAGCCCATGGCCTGAGTCTCCTCTGGTTGTTCTCAACCAGAAAAAGCCACCTAGGGTTCGAAGCTGAGTCATCACTCATGTGATGGCCTTCGCCTCAAGAAACTCTAGGTCCTCGGGGGCTCTGGCCTCTGTCGCCTCGGAGCTGGAACAGGCTCACACCAGAGCTCTTGCAACAGCCAAGGCTTTGGGGCCCCAGAAGCCTTCCCCCATCCTTCCTCTAGGTCCCCAAATCCTTTGTGCTCTGGGCTTCTACTCATTGCACAAGTTCCTGAGCCCTCTGCACCGCAGGTTCCACATCATAAACTTGACATAACAACAGAACCCACATGGCATGTTATGACGCGCTTAAATAAGGTCCAGTGGATAAAGTGTTTGCCATGATTCCAGTAGTTCTCATTATTGGTGTTGTCACACTATTGGTGTAGTTGGTACACTTGCTATATTGATGATGATTTTTTTTTCCTAGAAAAGCAAGCTTTTCTTCTGGGTGAAATTACATGGTTACTCCCTGCCCAAACATTAATCCCATGAAGGCAGGATATCATATCTTTTTCTTTTGGGGGTTGGGGGAGGGCCCAATACTGGTAGTTGAACTCAGGGCCTCAGCGCTCTACCTCTTAAACCAATTCACCAGCCCTCTTCATGTTGGATATTTTTATGCTTTCCCTGTAGCCAGGATGGCAGACACACCTCGCCTCTCTCAGCCATTGGTTGAGATAGAGTCTCATTAACTTTTTTGTCCAGACGAACCTCAAACTTAGTTCTCCTGATTTCTACCTCCCACATAACCTGACTTACCCACCACACCTGGCCAGGACATTATCTTTCTAATCCAGGTTGCAGCTCCGATGCCTAGACAAGAGACAGCCCTGAGGTCAGGACCCAGGAAACATTTGTGGCAGAGAAGATGCAAATGTTATTGACCCCCCACAGGGAGGCGACAAGGGCAGGATCCCCATTCCTGTTTTACAGGTGTAGACTTGGGACTTGGAGTGAGTGGCTTGTCCAGTACAGATGTAGTTGAGAACCCAGGCCTGTCTTCCTCCAGATAGTGTCCCTCACTGTCGCTGCTCATCGTCCTGCATCCTGACTACTCCAAGGCTGTTATTTGAAGGCTCCGAGTTTTTTCTCTTCCAATCAATGAGTGGTCTGTTGGGCAGTGTGTTGGGTTCTCATAATGAAAACCAGATTTTTTTTTTCAACATAGTATCTCGTTCTCCACAGAGACCGTCAATTCTCATATGTTCCAATAAAACTGCTAAAGAAACAGCCACTTGAAGAGCTTTAAAGATTATTCATGGAAAAATTATGCTGAGGAAAAATAGAGCAATCCTCTGAGATAGTCAAGCCACATGGTCAGTTTTTCCATTTGTCCCTGCCATATCAGGCCAAGGCTATAACGCCTGTACTCTGCTAAGAAGACCAGAGCCTCCACTCTTCACTGCCTGCTCCCTGCCCCTGCCCCTGCCCCTACCAGAGGACACTAAACCAGCCTGCCAGCCTCCTAGTTCAAAAAACGGCCCTAGAAGACACGTGTCTCTGGCACCGTCACATGCCACCCACCCCCCGCCCCGCCCCCAGACTTGGCAGAGCAGGAACGTAAGGCCTTTCAGTAGCAAAGGGTGTCACTTACTGGCACATAGCTCCCCCACCCCCCAAATCTGGGTCCCAGCTGAATGGAAATTCTTCTGCTTCCTCGTCAGTCCCAGGCTGCTGGTCAGCAATGCAGGGGAGGAGTGGCAAAGACCCAGAGCAGGGAGAGCAGCAGCAGCTCCAGAGGCTCAGCTCTTCCACTGGGCCCCTGCAAATACTCCACAGCATGTCCAGGGGGCATCTGAGGCCAGGCCTGCCTCCCACGTCTCACAGCAGAAAGGAGAGGGGTGCATCCAGGCTTAGTTCTGCAGAGAGAATCCAGTGTTGGATGGAAGGCACCAAAATGAGTCTTAAGGGTTTGGGAGATCTCAGAAAGGGAAGCAGTGCCGGAGTCAGGTGAGAGTGAGTGCCACCCTGCAGTCCCCTCCACCCACGTGGCCCTGCAGGGGGCTCCCTTAATCATGATAACCACACTAGAGGCTGTGAGGTTGGGCTAGGCAGTGTTTGCAAGAGCCTGCACACAGTGGTGTGGGTGGAGCCTAGTCTCCTTCCTTTTCCCTCGCTCAAGGGCAGAGTGGGTCTGACCCATTCCAGATTTCCTGGAGGAAAGGCCTCCTGCTCCACAGGCCCCTCACACCTGGTCTTTCTGTTCCCTTCCTGGTGTGCTATCCAGTGTCTTGGCTCTGGATATCCCCATGAGGCCTAGGTTCAGGTCTTACCTCTAGCACATAGTAGGTCTATAAGCCCCACTTTCTCATCTTATAAAAATGGGTCCACCGAGGATGCAGTGCCTCTTGTACAGCATCAAATCCTAACCATTACCATCATTTCTGGTCCACCCCCAGGGCCCCTGGCCCTCCACTTGAGACCACAGGAGGAGGCTCAGTGCAGCTGACCTTCAGAGCACACGTTCTGCACACAGGGTGGGAGCTGAGTGACTCAGGCAGGGACTGTAATCTGCTCTCAGGGCTGCTGATAAACAAGGCGGTTCCACCCTCTGGCTTCTGCTCTGCAGTAGTGTGAAACCAAAACAAAGCAGGATGGTTTTCATTCTTCTTATCCTCTCTGGAGCAGAGCCGTGGTGAGAACTGCTGCCTTCAGGTCACAGCTGCTTGTGTCCTGGCATATAGAGCAGAGGGTCTTCCCAGGGGTGCCTTGGGGTGAGGGGTTGGTGCAGGGCCTGTGCAGAACCCCTGTGACCTCACAGTCAGAGCCACCGGGGATGACCTTCTCCCTCCACATAGTTCTGATACAGATTTGGCAAGAATCAGAGCCTCAAGCTGATACCAACATGGAAGCCCTGGAGCCATGGAGCAGGGTCTACTTGCCCCACTCCATACCAGCCATAGACCTCTTCAGAAAGCAGAACCTTTGCTTTGGGGGCATGCCTCTCTGGATCCCTATGGATTGGCCTGTCACATCCTATTCTTGAGACACCACCAGGAAGTGGGCCTGAGCAGTGCAGGCCACCTTGATGGTGGCCTGTCAGCATAGGAGGAAGGGGTCAGTACTGGACATGTAGAAATATATGTGGCTTGTGGGAACCTTGTCCCGCCTGAGCCTCCCCTCCCCTCAACTCCCTTCTCCATATGCCTACTCCTGTGACTCCTGTCATCGCTCTCCTCTTGTGTTCACAGGCCCCTCCGCAAGTTCCAGCTCAGCCAGGTTCCGCCGGAGGCCCACCTGTCCTGATGCATCTGTGGCTGGCAGCCTTCCCACACCACCAGTCCCCAGACACAGAAAGAGCCACAGCCTGGGCAACAAGTAGGTGACTGAGCCCCAGTGCTCCCCACCCCCCACATCCAGGCATCTGCCTGACCTCCGTGGGGATGGGCTGGCAGGATCCTGGGAAGTTCTCCTACCTCTTTCTTTGGGCTCTTGGTGTCCCTCTTGGGAGTTTTCTCCCAAGTTAGGGCCTGGTTCAGAAAGAGCAGATAGGCAGCTGGCAGCACAGACCGTATGCCATTGGCTCAGTGGCTAGTGGAGGAAGGGCATGGGAAAGCAAGGGCAGGGGGCCCAACAGAGGTTCCAGAGAATACACTGAAGCTTGGTTAGCAGCCAGTTGTGGGGAACCGGAGTCCTGTGGACACCAGAGACTGTGTCCAGGCAGCTTTGAGAGGTCTCTTGGCATCTGCCCACAGAGAAGTGCAGCTGCTACCAGCTCACCTGCTCTGTGGAGCCCACAGAGCCCACAGCCGGGGACACAGGTCCTCAGCATGGCTGGGGGTGGCCATGCCCACATGCTCCAGGCATTGGGTTGGCACAGGCTCCCAAAGAGAAATCCATCTCCCCACCCCTTTCCTTATGCCTGCCTTCCTCCCCATCTTTCCTCCTCCTTTCTGCCTGCTTCCATCTACCACTGAGGCCACAACTGCCAGCCTCCCAGGCTCGCCTCAGAGGAGCCCCAAGGCTGAAAGAGGTCAGAGTTGCTTTCTTTGTCTTCAAGTGCTTCCTCCACCTACTCCCCAAGACGCCTCATGTCTGTGGGGTGCAGTCTCAGCCAGAGCCACACAGGCCTCTGAGGCAGCTGCTATTACTACGCACACTGTAAGCATGGGCCCCATGAGGCTCACAGGTGACCCCTTTGTGAGATTGAGGAGGCGTTGGAACCAGGATGCAGACCAGATGCAGGTGACTCCAGAACAGCCATTGTGCCCAGCTCGCTGCCCCTCCCTTTTGCTGCCCCATCACTCACGGCCTCATCTTCATCCCGGGAGACAGGCAAAGCCAGCAGCATCAGTCCCCAGTGGAAGATGGAGAAACAGAGGCTCAGGAGAAGGATGCGACTTGCCCAAGGTCACGCCCAGAGAGAGGCAGAGGCTGGGCAGCTCATGGCTCTGGGTAGGCCTTTTTCCTGCAGCTGACCTCTGGCCCCAGCTCCCAGGGCAGTTGCGGCCACTGATACTTGTGAGATAAGGAGCTTTGCCTTCTCTTTTCCTCTCCATTTTCCAGTATGATGTGTCAGTTGAGTGTAGTTGAAAGTAAAAGTGCGACATTCCCATCGGAGAAAGCCAGGCACCTTCTGGACGACAGTGTCCTAGAGTCCCGCAGCCCCCGCAGGGGCCTCACCCTCACCTCCTCCTCTGCTGTCACCAATGGACTCTCCCTAGGTAAGCGTCTCCAGCCTGCACACCACAGGCGGGGGCCGCCGGCCCAGTGTGCGCTCCATGTCTGTCTTTGTCACTGTGCTGCGCCCAGTGGCCCCTCTCCACCACCAAGTAGAATACCCTGGAGCTGGGCAAGCCTCCACTTCCTGACCTGCTGGGCTACAAAGAGAACCAGGTTGCCCGCGTTCCTTCAGTGTCCCCAAGTGTGGCAGGCAGATAGACTCATGCTTGAGTCTGGCTCAACTCTCAGAGTGGCACTTGGGCCCCAGAGGGAGTCACAGGGCCAAGGACCTGCAGAGCAAAGCAAGGCAGCCACTCGGGGAAAGTGTGGGGTGGGCCACTGTTCTTACCTGTGTACTTGTCCTTCCACTGAGAAGCGACGGGAGGGACAGTGCAAAAGGGACCTTGAGCATAAGCGGAAACGGTGCTGTGTCCATGGGAAGGATAGGACTTGTGCCGCAGAGGCTGAGCTGGGAGTCACCTGTATTAGGGTTGAGGCTAGCATTGATCTCTGCTCACAGGTCTGGTTCCCAGCAGTGCCTCTGAGAGCAGGGCATCCCCCTGTCTTCACTCCCTCAGACCAGTGTCCTGTGATGGCCTTTGGCTTTCAACGTGCCTATGCTGCTGTACTCTGTATGTCTGTGTGTCTGTTTGCTTTCCTTAGCAGGGAGCTCTCCCAGAGCTCCAAGAGGTGGGGCAGATAGTTACCCTGCTGGGAGTTTGTTCTGGTGAGGATTGTGGGGTAGGGGACCAGGGGCTTGAGGGAACAGGCAATAGGAAGACTCAGTGGGTGTCCTGCTGAAATGAAGACAGTCTGAGAGGTCATAGGCAGTATAAGCCCAGGGAGCAGCTATCCCAGCAAGTGTGAGACAAGCAAGCCCCTTGCATGCTCAGGGGAGAGTGTCCTGTTTGGATGCAGGCAGAGGGGTAGGACAGCTTGGGACAGTGCATTTCTGATAAGTGTGTATTCCAAGCAGAGCTCTGGGCTCTTGTGCTGGGGAGAGGCTGAAGGAAAGCAGGCTTCTTCCCTGAGATTTGGCTTTGCTCACAGCCACTGCAGTCCTCCAGCTTGCAGAGTCCCACAGCCTTTGCTCATGGACCCCTTCTTGGCAGGAGCGATGAGACCTGGGTCCTGAGGAGTGTACTCTGGGCAGTGTGGACCCAAGAATGCTCTGTTAAGCACAACGTAGCTATTGGACATCCTAGAAACTGGATGCACTAAATCTAGACTGCTGTTTCTGAGACAGAAAGCAAGTCAGTTGCTGTGCTGTCCAGCATCCAGGCAAGATCAGATTGTTTGGTTCTGGCTCCTCAAGTCAGCAAACTGGGGTGGAAGCCCTGAGTGAGAAAATGGCTTTGTGTGTGTGTGTGTGCCCTGATTGGAGCTAGGCTATTCCATCACCCACTGGTGAGACCATTGCTCAGGCTGATTCATGGGGTTAGGGCTCTACCCCTACCCCTTCCTACTGCTCAGCCTTGGTGCTTTCTCCCGAGGTTCAGGGAACCCCCAAGATCAGAGAACAGAGTTGTGGTACATGGATGCTTCGGTGTTAGGAAGAAATCTCCTCTCATAGAGGTTTGGGATAGCCGAGGGAAGCAGGGCATCTCAGCAGCCCAGGGTTCAAGATGTGCCTGGGTAGAGCAGGACTAGGATCAAAGTCAGAAATAGCAGCAAAAACCTCCACTCACGTTGTTTACAGGCTCAGAAGCTGTGAGCTTAGGGGCCTGGTAGCACAGGAGAACAGGCCGCTCTGTGCACGGCCACTGCGCTCACTGATCTGTGTTCCTTTTCCAGGCAGTAGTGAGAGCTCAGAATTTAGTGAAGAGATGTCTTCAGGGCTGGAAAGGTGAGTGTGGCCTCAGCATGGCCTCTCTCCCACGGGAGGTCCTAGGGAGCTGGACACAAGCTCAGTAGAGTGGCCCTTGGCTCCTGGTCACAGGGCAGGAGCAGGATGGCAGGGGGGTTCTATGCCCCTGTGCTCTGAGCAGTCTCACAACCCCTCTGGTGCAGGATCTACCCAGGAGCACTTTGTCCAGCCCAGCTGCAGAAGCAGACAGGGTCTAAAGTGTGGGTTTGTGGGTTCTTTACACTGGAAGCCTGAGAATCACTGTCTATTTGATACAGGCACATGGCTCCATCTGGTGGGATCCAAGAGTGTTGCAGCCACACAGCAACAAATGGCTTCCAGCCTAGGAATGAGATAGCACCTAGTAAGACCTAAGATATGACCACCCACACACACTTTCCCACACATGCATGTTGATAGCTGTCTGCACATTCTCATACATACACATGTAGATACCTGCTCACTCAGATACATATTCATTATACATGCACACATGTATACGCACAGAAACCTGACATTCTTACATATGCATGTACACTCACAACTATAACCAGAGCTACCTGTAATGCATGCACATTATACGCACACATACACATACATGCAACTCATAAATACCTATACACTTTCACTTGCATACCTTTCACACGCACACCCAGTTACATTTCCTCAGCACACATGCACACTCAGCTATACAGCTTTTGTATATACATACTCTCAGTTGTACACACAACAGTACTCAGCTATACATGAATTACACTCTTACACATGCAAACACACATGCACACACTGGACACTTTTACACACTTATATTTACATCCCCTCATGCATGTGTGTCACTTATGTATGTGTATCATGCTCGTGTGTGGACAATTGTTTTATACATGCATATGTATATGTTCATGTATAGCACACAACACATACATGCACTTGTGCACACACAGACACCGACTCCCATTACACTAAAGCTTCTGTCCCCCATCTCCATAATCATAAAATTACCAGGGGTTGGGGGGATCATATGTACCTTTAAGGTACTGAATGTCCCCTGTGTGCCAGGCACCATCTTCTGCCTTGCTTGGACTCTGCACACTCAGCATTCCTCTGCAGCAGCCATGCAGATTGTCCTGTTGGTACATGGGGAGAGCAGGGCTCCCAGAGGTCAGGTGACTTGCCTGCCTCATCTTCATTACCCTCTTACACTTACACATGCACACACACTAAATACTCTTCACATGCTTATACTTACACAAGTACACTCATGCACCTATGGGGGGGGGGCGGATATATACAGAATGATCTGGCAGGAGCAGAGCTGACCCAAACCCACATCTTCCTCCCATCAAGCCTTCCTCTTTACCACCCCATGCCTTGGCCAGAGAGCTGGTGGTGACTTTGGGGCTGGCCCATGGCATTCTTTCTGTCAGGGTAAGGCTCTGAGTGCTCTGAGGCTTGCTCTCTGTCCTTCCCTGGGAACGCCTGAGGAACATTTGCAATGCTCCCATTTGGAAGTTCAGGCAAAGTGGCCCAGTCACTCCAGCTCTTGGCCACCCAGCAGTAGAAGAAAAAAGCTGACATGATCAAGGAGCAGACTCTGGAACTCAATCCTGGTCAGGGAACTTCTGGGAGAAGAGGACTATACCAGCCAGCATCCCTCCTGGCCATAGACCAATGAGAGGACATCAGACTGGAAACAGGCCTAGGGCCGAGCTCAAGAATAGCAATCACACCTGGCCTTGTCTGTGTCCATTCATTCATCCTGTCATAGATTCCTTCCTTCATCCACTCATTTATCCATTGACTCATGTACTAGCTGTTTATTAAGAACTACTCCCTGCCAGACTGCCTGCTAGCTGCTAAGGGTGGAGGCTGCATGCTTCCCTAAGTGTCACAATGAGAGTAGCACTATTAGGGAGGAAAGGGGTAGACGCCTTCCTTGTTCCAGAGTGACAGTGCTGAATGCAGTTCCTGAATGCTGTAAGCTTCTTGATCACTCTTCACTCTCCATCGTATGTCCATTACAGGTGCCTTAGGGATAGGATGTCCTCTAAGCATTGTCCTCCCTCCTCCCCCCTTCATTGCTGGCTCATCCACACAGCACAGCTCTTCTCCAGCAGTCCTTGAACTGCCCTCCAGGGAAGACATCTTGTTGTCTTTGTCTTAGGCACCCCTTCCTACTGAGGATAGCAGGAGGCCACTTGCTTCAGAAGATGCTAGTGGGCGGGGGGGGGGGTGTGTGGGGGGGGTGCGGGGGGGGGAAGGGAAGAGTTGGGTAGGTAGGGAAGGAAGGGATGGCAAGAGAAAAAGGAGGAGGTAACAATGCTTGATAGGAAACATACTCATCACCCTACTCATGTAACTATAACCCCTCTGTTCAGTATTTCTACAATAAAAGACATACATATGTGTGTGTGTGTGTGTGTGTGTGTGTGTGTGTGTGTGTGTGTGTGTGTGTGTATGTATATGAAAGAAGATGCCAGTGGGCTCTGATGTCCCCTCCAAAGAGGCCTGACAATCTGAGTGCCAGCTGTCCCTAGCCTCTGTCCCCAGTGGCCCAGCTACCACTTCCTGTTTCTCCCTCATACCAGCCTCTGCTCCTGTCCTCCAGAGAACCTTCTTCCTGGAAAGCATGCAGATGTTCCAGGCTCTCCCACAGTCCACAGGAGCATTTGAGGTCATTCCCTTGTAGGTGAGCCTCCTTGTTCCATGTTGCACTGTCCCTTTAGCTCAGTCGCTGTCAGGTTGTTGCCTGACTCTCCTCTACTCCCAAGTGCTCAGTCCTACTGGATCCCCCTAGCCCTTGCAGGGCTCCCAGGCCACATGTTCCTGCTCTTTAGAAGAGTTGGTTCCTAGATATCAGCCTGTCAGGGCCCAGAGGCCAGCATCTGCCCAGAAAAAGCCTCCATACCCAGAGACCCCACCATTTGTCCCTCACAGACACTGCAAGACCGCAGTTTCCTCTGCATCTTTCTACCTAACTTGACCAGATGTGGCGGACTTGGAACTGAGGTGCTAGGAGGGCTGGACCCACTCCAGATGGAGAGGGAGAGGAGGAGGCTGGCTACTGGAAGAGGAAGGGGATAGCCCTCTGCTCTCAGCTCTGAAACTTGAACTATGACCTTTGACCAGCTCCCTAGCCCCCTAGTCCCTCAAAGCCCCCAGCCCTTGTAAGAAGCTTAGCCCAGACCAGGCAGAGAAATGAAGTCAGATTGCACCGTAAAGGGCAGGGAGACTGTAGACCAGTGACTACATACCGCATACAGGTCTGAATCCCTGGTAATATCACCATGATGGGCAGCAGAGCTGCCAGTGTCCGGCCGAGGGTGGGGTCATTTAGCTGACTTAGGAGATTATCTTCCCTGTGTCTTAACAGGGATATGTCCACCCAGGGGCCTAAAGATAGTCCTTGACACTGGCCAGAGTCCAGGCCACACATATCTAGTATGTCCTTGAGGTGGACAGCTACAAGAGCACCCTCACTACTCGTTCTTGCTGCATTGTGGGGTGAGGGGGCATGATGTCAGCCTGACAATGTCAGGGTCTGTGGGAATGGAAAATGGTGGCATCCAGGCCAGGGAGATATTAGTTGGTCATTTCTAAGTTCCCAGGCCTCCCTAAAGGGACCCATCTGTCCTTAGGCCCCAGATCATGGGGGAAGCCTGGGCCTGGGCCATTGTCACTAGGGAGTGGGGTAAGGGTTCCTACCAGACAGCCCTGGCCTACGGGGAGGAAGGTAGAAGACAGCTCCTCAACACATGCACTCTCCCAATGAGGGGAGAGAGGCAGTTCTGAAAGGTATTTTCAGTATGTGCTTAGCGAACTGGAGACAGGGCTGGGGACTGATGCTGGGCAGGGCTCAGCCAATCTCTGGAGGCTCTGGAGGCACACAGGGGAAAGGAGTTCAGCCAGGTCCAGAGGGGGAAGTATCCGGCTGCTTTGTGCTTGGTTTAAAAGCCAAGTGTTGGCACCGAGAACATAAAAATAAGCTTAAGGATCAAAATATCTTAAAGTAGGTTTGTTTTTCAAAAGGAACAAAATGGATTGTAGAGATGAACATCAGTATAGGGATGACCACACAGGTCATTCATCTTGATTATCTCTGCCTTGGAGGATTCTTGAGACTCCCCTGTCCCTGTGTTGTCTTAGGTTTTCCACAATGGGTTAATCCTTCTTTTCGCCTCAGAAAAAGAATTAGCATTTAAGTTTCCTAAAGAAGATATCATCAAGCTGGGCACCAGTGGCTCACACCTGTAATCCTAGCTACTCAGGAGGCTGAGATCTGAGGATCACAGTTCAAAGCCAGCCTAGGCAAGAAAGTCCATGAGACTCTTATCTCCAATAAACCACCAGAAAATTGGAGTGGCATTGTGGCTCAAATGGTAGAGCACTCACCTTGAGCTGAAGAGCTCAGGGTCAGTGCCCAGGCCCAGAGCTCAAGCCCATGAGTGGGGGGGAAAAAAAAAAAGACATCGTCAGAAATGATTAGTGATTGATTTTTAAGAAACAAAATATGAAAGTGTGTAAGAGTTTATTACAAATATCTGAGCCATCCATCTTCCCCATTTTGACATTGCCAGCCCTGTGGAGGTCTTCTTATATAGACATGGGTCATGATGGGCAGACTAGGAGGGAGAAACCCTTGAGGGACCCCACAGCCAGCAGAAGCCCCTCCAGTGAGAGAGAGATGAGAGAAGGGACATTGCCCAGCCCTCTGTGCAGTAGAGGGGTCATCTGCCTTCCTTGAAAGAAGGAACTGGTAAGCTCATAGAGCCTTCAGGATGCCATGCACAGAGCCCTGGGAGCCCTGGTGCAGTCTTGCTGATTGCAGTGGTTCTAACAGGTTAACCTGGTTTGGCTGCTGGCTCAGAGGTGGCTTCTGGAGGAAGCTAATGGAGGCCCAAAGGCGTTCTGTGGGAAATAGCCTGGTGAGCCCTCATGGGGGTCCAGATATCTGAGGAGGCTGTGAGCCCTGAGTCAAGTGCTGGGACTAGAGAGGTAGCCCAGGAGTGCTCAAAACTCAGGAGTACCCCCTGCAGGATTTGTGTTTGCATGACATGTTGAGTTCCTAGGATAACTGTGTAGTGAAATACATGGCTGGCAGTGCCAAGGGCCTGAGGCCGGGGCCACCACTTCTGATGACCCCCTCTAACCCCTGAGCTTTCATTCCTTAGCTGTGTGATGGGGACCCACATGGTGAACACTTGGGACCTGGAAGGAGTTGCTTTGTAGAGGGACTAGTGTGGGATTTTAAGAGTTCCTGTCAGCCACTGCCTGAGTCTCACACCTGCAATCCTAGCTACTCAGGAGGCTGAGATCTGAAGACTGTGGTTTGAAGCCACCCTAGGCAGGAAATTGCATGACTCTTATCTCCAATTAACTGCCAAAAAAAGCTGGAAGTAGAGCTGTGGTTCAAGTGATCAAGTGCTAGGCTTGAGCAAAAAAAAGCTCAAGGGCAGTGCTCAGGCCCTGAGTTCAAGCCTCAGGTTCGGCACAGAAAGTAAAGTTCCTATCAGATGGTACATATCACCAGCAAGAAAGCCATGCAGGAGTGAAGGCTGAGCAGGAAGAGAAACCTCCCCAAGTGGCAATTGATGCTGCTGGATGAACTAGAAAGACGTCCTACAGGAGGACGCTCTATAAAGAGTGACGTGAGCTACAGGCGCATGGGGTGAGGGAGGTCCAGTGAGGCCTGTAGGAGGCTAACTGTTGGTCTTAGCAGATGGGCTGTGAGTGAAGAGGCTCAGGGTGACTCACAGAGAACTTCCCCTATCCCCCAACACACATATGGCTGCAGCCAGGAGTCCCAAGCTCTCATAGCTCACCAGCGTGCCAGAAGTCTGTTTTGCCTGGGTCTGTCCTTGTACCTGGGTTGAGCAAAACAGCTCAGTTGGATGACCTCCCAAACTTTGGTTATAGTATCTCCCAAAGACTCCATCTCTTCCTTTACTCCCTTAGCTGGCAAGAAAGACTCTTGGGCAGAATTCTCTGAAAGAAGAGTAGGTCTTGTGCTTAACCCTGTCCTAGGCTGAGACAGTCAAGGCAAGTCCCTGCCAGCTGGCTGCTGCTTCATAGGAGCTGAGAAACCTCTGTTTTTCTGTCCAATGTCTATATCCTCACCCAAGAGCCGTTCCTAGAAATGGCAGTATTTTCTTCCATCTGTGCCAGTCCTTCCCGCTGTGCACCTGCTATACGCCGCCCCCCCTTTCCAACTGCAGACCAGATTTCTGAACTTCTCAGTAGGCAGAGAGGAGAATGTATGGGTTCACCCAGCCACTAAGCCTCTGAACTTGTCTAGTCCAGCCTCTGAACTAGATCTTCATTGCTAAAGAAAAAAAAAATCTACCTTGGGTTTGCGTGTTGTCCTGTCTAATCAGCCTTGGGAAGAGTGGAGACAGGCAAAACATAGTTGAAAAGGTACTGCAGGAAGGGTTGTCCCAGAGATCGGAAGGTGATGATTTTTACATGCAGAGAAGGGAGAGTCACCAGGAAGTGACTAGGGTTTTCTGGTATAGTGAGCAATTTTGATGAACAGCACCCCATGGCCTGTCCACAGGTGCACCTTCACAGGGCTCTGTGAACTAGATGCAGGAGGACAGGGTGGTGAGCCTTGCCTCAGCTAAGAGGCCTCAGTGTAACTGTGATGTAAGACTTCACTCCTCTTCCCCCCACACACACACTACACCAGCAATAATAATATTAAGGGCTCTATGAAATTTAAACCCCAAGATACCTCTAAACCTGATGAATGCTTGGGAAGTGATACCTCAGCTAGGCTAGCCTAAATGCTCATGAGGCTGTGACTGCTTTTACTGTACAGCCCCACTCATGCTTCCTCCTCCCGGTGCTGTGGCCTTGGGCAAGTGACTCCACCACTTCCAGCTTCAGTTGTTAACTAGGTGGCAGGGACGGTAAGCACCCTATGATCAATGGAGACAGAGAAGGAATTCTGCTGAGCACAGTGCCTAGCACCCATCACCATCACCTCCACTACCACTGTCGTCACCACTGACACCATCATCATCAGCCTCTGGTCATACGTCATCATCATGGTCATTGTCACTGTCATCTTGCCAACTCTGTGGGACGAGGTGTTTTACCTGGTTAGCAGCCTGCATCTTTCCCAGAGCAAACTTCTCATGAGCCCCTTGTCTGCTGGCCTCACCCACCAATCCATCCTGGAGAGGAGTACTTAGCCTTCTGAGGATATGTGTCCAGTCACATGCTTCTAAAATGGCATTAAGAAGGCGATCTGTGGCTCCACTAGGGATCCTCCTGAGAAAGCCCATGATTTCTGGGGTTTACCAGATGCCACTGTCTACTCAGATATTCCAAATTTTTCCATGGTAGATCCTCTCAGAGGAGAGCAGGTTCCCACACAGTGTGGGACAGCCAGAGCAGCCCACACGCAGTAGGAAACAGGCCTTCTGTGTGAGCACTTGCATCTCCATCTCTAATAGCAGACTGGGGGGCAGCAGCTCTTAAGTTCTGTGTTGCCTTAGCCCCCCAGGAGGACTTGGTGAGGAAATCAAGGGCCAGGGGTCTGGGAGGTGCCCCACTCCAGGACATCTGCAATCTAGGAACTTTGTGGCCATTAAACTCACAGACACTGCCAATGCCCAGCCCCTAAGCTGAAGAAAAGCCCCCCCCCCAATATACACACACACAGTAGTGGTGCAGAGGTACACACTCTGAGCATACAGGGCCAGGAAAGTGCTGCATCCAAAGGTATTAGGTGCAATGAGGTATTAGGATATAGAGTTGAACAGAACTGAGTTCTAACTCTGGTTTTTGAGGCTCCTGCACTGGTCAAATAGCTTCACATTGCTGAGCTTCTATACTCCCTTGTAGGGGAAGGTAATGGTGCTTGAACAAAGCTGCAGAGAGTGAGCACTCACCCCCAGTAGCTCTTCCATCGGGCCAAATGTCCTGACAAATCAGGTCAAATCTCTACCTGTTGGGCTCCTCACGGCTCTGGGAAGGCCTATAGAACGATTGCTTCCCAAGCCAGAGCAGTTGGTAGATGCAGGTTTCAAGCTCTCTGTGAACATACATCACTTCTACCAGCTGACAACAAGGAGCTGCTGAGCAGGGGAGAGCAGAAGAGAAGAAGATGGCAACACTCTTCTGCCTTGTGGGAGGAACAAGTGGCCATGGCACACCGGCCTCCACCCCATGTCTTGGAGCAGCATGGAGCGAGGCCCAGAAGAAGAAGTAGTGGGGAGGCTCCGTCTCTGAGCCGAGACAGCTGTATCTCAGAATGGGAGTCTGGATCAGAGGAGGAGAAGATAGCACAATGCCTGAACAGTAGACAAAGCCACAACACATAAGACCACAGAAAGCTTCATTGCCAGACCTTGCTTGCAGTGATTGGAAAAGAGATGACGCCTGGAGGCTGCCTGCCTGCCCTGGCCCAGTAGCACTGCCCAGCCCAGAGGGAAGGGGGATGGGGAGGGGGGAGGTGTCTGCAAAGTCTGAGTGCTCCCTCTGTTTATCAGGCGCCTGGGGCTCAGGACAGCCATGCTTACATACTGCAGTCCAGCAGGTAGGTCAGGAGTTGAACACACCAGCAGGGTCTCTTCATCTGTGCCAGAGCTTAAGGGAGAGCAGGGTCAGCCTGTGAGCATCATGAGACCTGTTATGTTGAGGACCTGTGGCATCAGCACAAGCTATGGCAGGTCTCCCACCAGTCATGGACTTGGACGCCTGCACAGTGAGCCTGAGATGGTCATCAGGAACAGTTCCGACCTGGTTGGAGGGCAGAAGCCCTTGGCCCAGTGATACAACAGTGCCCCTGCTGCAGTGAGTGAGAATGTCCTCATGCCACCACTAGGGGCCAGCGGCCTGGGCAACAGGCAGCAACCTAAGGCTGGTCATAGATGACAAAGGGAACATTTGGAAAGGAAGTTAGGACCTTGTCTGACTTTACACAGCCAATCACATTGCCAGCTGCCTAGAGTGCAAAGAAAGGGCGCATAACAGCCTCTTGCTGGTGCAGCAATGGACACAGGAAGTGAGTCTTCTAAGATGGGAAGGGATACGGGCGAGAGCACCTCCCCTCAAGGAAGTGGAACAGCAAGCAACACACTGCCCTAGGAAGGCCCAGGCTGAAGTATAGGAAGAGAAAAGACACACGGAGCCCGCAAGGAGGCCCTAGAGTCCAGGCTTTCAAATGCAACAAGTTGCAGATCCAGTTTGCAAGGACAGCTGGAACCAGCAAAGGAATCTGTCTAGAGGAGCAGGCGGAACAACACAGGAATCAGTGGACAGGGTAACAGGGGAGCTGCACTTGTTCTAGTCCAATGTGCAAAACTGCCCGCAATTCTGTGTGCTTTTAATGTGGACTTACAGTGGACTGAACAGGCTGGGTAGCATTGACCAGCTTAGTTTCCCATTGGGTAACTGAAAAGCCACTGAACAATCAATAAAAAGGACTTTGCAGGATGGAGGCACCAAAGGGTGTGTTCACAGGCCAGGTGCTCCAAGCTGTCCTTGACATGCTTGCAGCAGGAGTGAGGAGCCTGGAGAGGAGGAGGGTGGGGGGAGGACCACGCAGTCAGAGATGCTCTTGCACCTTCAGGAGTATCTGCTCTTTCCAGGCTCTTGCTAAAGTTCTCCCTTTTCCTCTGAAGCAGGGGACGTCTGTATGCCACGCTGGGCCCCAACTGGCGAGTTCCGGTTCGGAATTCTCCCAGAACCCGGAGCTGTGTCTACAGGTATTTATTTACTCATTCATTGATTTGTTCAACAGATAGCTTTGGGTGGTTTGCTGGGATGAAGCCCTCCGCTAGATGCACCTGAAGGAGAAAAACTCGGCCTGTTTCCATCGTGCTTTTGCTAGTCCCAGGTGCACTGTTTGTCCCATGCAGCAGTGGGGCATTCTGGGAGAGGAAGGGCATATATACGGGCAAACAAGACTGAAAAATGACAGAGCAAGCACGAGGTTGTGAGCTGTGATCCTGGGAGGGGAGGAAGGGCTGTGTTGTAAGAAATGAGACAGGAGGGGGGTGGGAGACGAGGCTGGGAAGGTGGTGGGGAGAGCTCCATCCGGCTGGGGGGCACAGGAGGAAGCGGAAGTGGAAGCAGGGACAACAAGCACCCTGGGCAGTCATGTGGAAGAAGATGCTGAGGCCTGAGGTGAAGGATGTACAGCCATGGTTGGGACCTGCAGTCAGTACAGCCTCGGAATTGACTGGGCATAAGAGAAGAAAATGCCCAGGTGGCTGGCAGGGGCCGGTGATGAGTGGAGGTGTTCACTGGCAGGCTTGGGGAAAGGCACAGTGGACAAGGCCCCTGTGGGATGTGCAGAGGGCAGACACAGCAGCCTAGTGCTGGGCTGGCCACGCACTTGGACTTTAGCACCTAAGGTGGTACCTGATCTCAAGAGAGAAAGAGGAAGGCAGAGGGAAGGGCGCAGAGAGAACCATTGTGTAGGATCCCTGTTCCTCCCACCCACTCTGCCTTTTCTTCATCCTCCAAACCTGCCAACATCAGGAGTGGCTTCATATTCCTCAGGGACAGACAGGGCTGATAGGAGCCAGGACTAAGCACCAGATGATAGAAAACTCCGTTACGAAATCCAGGGCTTTGCCTCCCTTACAAAGACAAGTGAGATGGAAGCTCTCAGCTGTGGGAAGCCTCTCCTGCTCTCCTGTGGCCTTGGTGATCATCGATGGGGCACCTGGGGACACATCCCCAACATTATGTTGACCTCAGCCCTTCCAGAGCCACATCTAACCAGCAGTCTCCCCACAGCCCCACAGGCCCATGCCCCTGTACCCTGGGGAGCTCGGCAGCCGTGCCCACCATGGAGGGGCCTCTGAGAAGGAAAACGCTGCTCAAGGAAGGACGGAAGCCTGCGGTAAGTCACAAGTACTTCAGTCAGCATGGGCAGCAGTGAGAGTCCTGGTCCAGAGACTAGCCAAGTACTGATCTAGCACTGGCCCTGCCACAGAGGGTGAAGGCCTTTATTGCCACATTTCTAAACTGGGGTGAAATTACACCTCCTCCTGAAGGCCAGAGTGCTTGCATATGGGCTCCAAGCAAGCCAGAGGTATCAGAGGAATCGAAGCTTGAAGAACTAGGAGAAAGAGGGTGGCTCAGCTCCAGGAGGCAGAGCAGCCGGGGGCATGCCTGCCTCTGTGTGGCTTTCCCTCATCAGACCCCCTCTCACCTCCAGCAGCCTCCCAACACAAGTAGGGAAAGCTCAGGGAGGAAGAATCCAGAGCCTTACCATCCCCACTGCTGGCCTGATGCTACACCTGCATGTCACTGAATTCACAACCCCACTTTTAGACTCAAAGTACAATTCTTCTGTCTCTGTCTCCCACCTAGCTGGGATTATAAACATAAACCTCAGCTCCTGGCCAACTATCTGCTCTGCCCCTCCTGTCTTGCTCCAGTTCCACTGGCCTCGGTCCACTGCCCAAGGTCAGCTGAAGAGGCCATTCCTCCTTCTGCCCAGGGCCCTGCCCACCTTCAGGTGCTCCTGAGTCTCCTCCATCCCAGCTCTGGCCACGTGCCTCTGTTAGCACAGAGTATCACAGCATCCACTGCAGTGGGGGCTCTGTGTCTGCCCCCTTGTGCAGACCTAGTGCCTCTGCTACCCAGAATGCAGACCCCAGTCATTCCAAGGCCACAGCCAGCAGTGTCCCCAAGGCAGTGTTGTCCCAAATGCTGGCCAGCTCCCTAGTGTGTGATGGGATCCATTCAGTGGGTCGTGTCCAGTATTTTTAGTGGAACAAAAATGGGATTGACTGGAAAATATCAGCATTCTTCACATGGAAAGTTCCATGAACTTGCTTCAGGTCAACACATGTTGAATGTGTGCTGTACACCATGATTATAGTGATGAGTCTGAAAGCCATGGTGTTCCTTTGGTGGCAGTGCAACCCCATACAGGAGGAAAGGGCTGCGTGGTGAGGCTGACAGCCTGCCCGCAGAGGCACAGTCCTCTTCCTCCCAGATTGGAAGTTCGCCTTTGCCTTTGCCACACTGAAGTGACTCTCCGCAGACCCTAGAATAAAGTACTTCAAACAGGGAGTCCCGGCCTTGACCTCTGGAGACAGCACAAGAGCACAGCGCAGCCAGGCCCTGAATGCTTTCACTTCTACCAGGAAGGCGCTGAGACTGTTGGCCCTCACTCTCATCCAGAGCAACCTACTGCTTTTAGGCTGTGGCTTAACATGCTTGGTTGTGGTGGATGTTGTTGTTTGCAGTACTAGCATTTGATCTCTTGAACTTGGTGGATAGGTGCACTACTGCTGAGCTATATTGCTGGTTAATTTTGAGATAGGGTCTCCATTCCTGAACTGTGATCTGTCTAGTTCAGGCTTCCCAATATAGCTTAGATGACAGGGACTGGCCACCATGCCCAACTTCCTCTGTTGCATTGGAGTCTCATGAATTTTCTGTCTGGGGCTGACCTGAAACCATGATCCTTCTAATCTCAGCCTCCCAAGTAGCTAGGATTATAGCTATGAGCTACCAGGGTCCAACTCACGTGTCTATTTAAAATTCTTTTCTTCCTGGGATACCTTCGGGTCCAGGTCACCTGAACAAGCAATAATCTATGTCCTGGTGCTGCCTTTGACAATGTGAAGAAAGGAAAGGCCATATGAATGAGTGAAAGAGGGAAGGGGGGGAAGACAAGCCCCTCCTCTTGGTCCTGGGTAAAGATGGCATCACAGGGAACAGTGGAAGGCCAAGGAAGAGAGGAGGCCACATGGCATGGATAAGGATGGGCCATCGTGCCCAGCCCTATGTCTTTTACTCTGTGTCCTCTTCCTCCTCAGCTGGCCTCATGGACCAGGTACTGGGTCATACTGTCGGGTTCCACCCTCCTCTACTACGGAGCCAAATCGTTGCGGGGCACAGACAGAAAACACGTAAGTCCTGGGAAGGGCTCTCATGCTGGACTTGCTCTAGTGGAAGCAACATGAGGGGACTGCAAGGACCAGGGTGGGAAGAACACTTGCCTGGTCCAAGTCCGCCTCCCTGTACAGAGAGTAGGATTGGGCCTCCCGACTGTTTCTTGTTCTTTTCCAGTATAAATCCACACCTGGCAAGAAGGTCTCCATCGTGGGCTGGATGGTGCAGCTGCCTGATGATCCCGAGCACCCAGATATCTTCCAGCTAAATAACCCTGACAAAGGTAGGCAGCAGGAGGCTGCTCACAACTGCTCTCCTCTATTTCATCTTCTGCCAACTGTATGCCCTAAAGCATTAGGAACTCGGGGCTGCCTCTGTCCCTTTGTGCCATGTTCAGATGGCTCCCACCTAAGCAGTGGCTCACACCTGTGGAAACCCGTTGGTGGCCTTGCCTTTGGCTCTCATCCCTGGAGTTGCCTCAGTCTTGGGATAAATGGCAATGCTGGATGAGGCAGGACTAGGGGGCTGGAGGAGTCCCAAGTCTTGGCCCCTTACTTGCCTGGCCGAAGAGACATCAGCAGTGTCCAGGCCCAAGGCCAACTCAGAGAAGAATCTGTGTAACGTTCTAGCATTACAATTTTCCCAGTCTGTCTTGCTTCTCTTCCTCCTTTATGGGAGGGAGAAGTTCTGGCACCATACTTCTCAGGACCCTTATCTTCATGACATGCACAGCAGGCCTTGGCTGGTTTCTGTGGTCACCCAAGTACTGGACAAAAACTCAATATTGCCTGGGTCTTGGATTCTCTCCAGGACTGCAAAATCTCCAAGCACCCTTTCATCTTCATAGGAATGTTTTCTTACAGGGGTTGTGTACAGACAGCTCACCTGGGAATCTTGTTAAAATTCAGGCTTGGATTCTATAGCTCTGGGATGAAGACCAAGATTCTGCATTTCTAAACAGTTCCCAGAGGAGGCAGATAATGGTTCTGGCCAGGGGCCACTCCTTGAGTGTCTGGTTCTATGCTGTCAGCTGAGAAGCAAAGAAACAAAGGTATACAGGAAGCCTAGGGGCTGACCAGGTCACTGACCTCCAAGGTCTCTGTTCCACAAGAGAGTAATTAAGTGCACACACAGGTGTCTGGGTAGTACCTCAATACTGGAGATGATTCCCCAGTGGCCTGGCCAGGATGATGAGGTTTCACTAGGAAGAAAAGGCTGTGGCCACACAAGCTTGATTGGGAGACCTTGTGGCCATGGAGGCTACAGACCATCCTAGTGCCTGAGCCCAGCGGAGGGAAATGAGACACAAGGGGTGGCCAGAGTCCACTGAAGGATTCAAGGATCTGCATACTTGGCTGGGGAAAAAATTACGTCTTTGTTTTCATTGACAAATAATGGTGTCTCACCTCCGTTGTAAGCATAGACGTCAAATAATAGACATGTGAGAAATAGTTGTGCTTTTTATCTTAAAGAGAAATCACAGGTGTTTTACTTCACAGGTTGCAGATATCTCAAAACATCACTGATGAACTGGTGATCTTCTTGAAATTAGCATTGTATCAGACCTGCGACTAGATCTGGTTATTGGTGTATGAATACATACATGTGCACACATAAAAAAACATCATTCCATTTGTTTTTAGAGACTGTTATAACTGGATCTCGGCAGTATTGATTTTCTTTATATTTTATTTTATTTTATTTTTATTTTTTTGGTCGGTCGTGGGGCTTGAACTCTGGGCTTGGGTGTTGTCTCTGTGCTCTTCAGCTCAAGCTAGTGCTCTACCACTTGAGCCACAGCACTACTTCCTGTTTTGTGGTGGTTTATTGGAGATAAGAGTCTCACAGGCTTTCCTGCCCGGGTTGGATTTAAACCTCGATCCTCAGATCTCAGATCCTCAGATCTCAGCCTCAGTAGCTAGGATTACAGGTGTGAGCCACCAGCACCCAACACTTTATATTCTATTTTACACATTTTAAAACATTTTTCTGAGAAAGGGTCCTCAGATCTCACCAGACAGCTAAAAGCCACAAATACCCAGAAAAACAGTGGTTAAGGGAGCCAGGTGCCAGTGGATCATGCCTGTAATTCTACCCACTCAGGAGACTGAGATCTGAGGATTGAGATTTCAAAGCCAGCCCAGGTAGGAAACTCCATGAGACTCTTATCTCCAATTAACCACCAAAAGGCATGAAGGGGAGCTCTGGCTCAAGTGGTAGAGTGCTAGCTCAGGGACAGTGTCCAGGTCCTGAGTTGAAGCCCCAGGACTAGCACATGTACACACAGCCTGGTTAAGAGCACCAGTTCAGCAATAGTCCAAGAGAGCATAGACAGCTGCCTTCCCTGCCAGTTCACCTGGGTTACCTTCCTTAGTCTCCCAAGGCTGTTTTCCTTCTTACATCACAGGCTGATCCTCCTGTGCGCCATCTCTTAACCAGTGCTTTCTCTCCCATCAGGCAATGTTTACAAGTTTCAGACTGGTTCCCGATTTCACGCGATACTGTGGCACAAGCATTTGGATGATGCATGTAAAAGCAACAGGCCTCAGGTAAAGTCATCCGGATCCCACTTGTCATCTGAATGCCCTCTCCCACCCCCAGGACTCAGAATCACTAGAGAAAGGGCATCTATCTTTTTCCCTCCATGCCCATCAGTTCTGCTCCAGAAAGCCTTTCTGGGTTAGCATTTCTCCTTGAGACAAGGCTCTCCTTATTCAGCTTAGAATGAAGCCTGGCTCCAGACCAGAATTTTGAATCTGGTTCCTGTATCTCTTTTTTTTTTTTTTGGTACCAGTCCTGGGACTTGAACTCAGGATCTGGACACTGTCTCTGAGTTTTTGTGCTTACAGCTAGTGCCCTACCACTTGAGCCAGGTTTCCCCTTTAGGCCTTTTAGTGTTCAATTGGAGATAAGAGTCTTATAGACTTTCTTACTCGGGCTGGCTTCCAACCAAGATCCTCAGATCTCAGTCTCCTGAGTAGTTAGGATTGAACATGTGAGCCACTGGTACCCCACTTTCCCAAAGGAAATGCCACAGAAACACCCCTTTGGGGATGGGAGGTGGCAGGTGTGATGTTACCCAAGGATCAGGCTCCAGGATCTATTTAAGTCATTTCCTAAAGCTGATATCAGGAATATCCTAAAGTGACTACTGAGCCTTCCTTCTCCAACCTGCACAATAATAGTAGCAGCTGGTATACTGAGGGCCAACCATGTGCCAGGCAGCTTTGAATTGGGGAGGGAGGTGACTCTGCTCCCCAGGCAGGGTTGTGTTGATGTGGGCTCCCTTTGGGCTGCTGGACTGACTCATGATCTGATCCCTCCCCCCCCCCCCACTACTACCCCCTCTCTCACTAGCCATAGTGTAAAATGCAGCTATTAGCAGCATCCTCCCTTGTCTCTATGAGCTGATTCTCACTGAGGATCTTGAGGCTCAGAAAATGGCAGGTGCTTGTTCAGGGCCCCATAGTTAGTGAGTGGTTGAGCTGGGATCTAACTCAGGGTTTCCAGATTCCTGCTTCTCTCCTTGCTGTCCTAAGCTCTCCTGCCTCCACTCTCCTACGGACCCTGGGAGCACAGGCCTGGCTGGCTAGGTGCAGGGAGGCTGAGTTTCCTTCTCCTGCTGGCAGGATGGGCGGCAGTGGTACTCCTATCCCTAGATAGGTGCTTCCTGTCCACAGGGAGCGCCAAAAAGTGTATTGGAGTCTTCTGACTTACAGAACTTGGGGTGGGGGGGTGCTCTCCCATGACCTCCAAGACGTAAGTTAAGGAATGTTCACTGAAGCATTGCTTTTGATGGAAAAGCACCTGGAAAATACCATGCCTAGGAGATCTCTCCAGTGTAACACCTGAGAGCCATTGGAAAGACTGTGGGAGGTCCCTGAAAGTTGCCCCAAGTAACAAAGCAAAGGGCACTCACATTGGCAGGTGCAATCTTGCTTGTGTTAAAGTACATTTTAGTATGTGCATGTAAAATTTCTACAAGGATATATAAAAGAACCAAAATTCTATCATTTTTAGAGTGCTTATGAATACATCTGTCTCTCTAGGTACACACACACACACACACACACACACACACACACACACACACGTGTCAGGGGACCCAGAGCCTCAGGCATGGTAGGCAATATGTACTCTACTACAGAGTAGTACAGAGCTACCCCCCACCCTGGCTTGCACATGAAGCTGATGTCACTGCCCATTAACACAAGGCCAACAGTTTGGACCCACTGTCTTCTCAAGGCAGTTCAAAGGGAGCAAGGGAGAGAGGCTTGAATAGGGCTCTAGTGGTATTCAGGGAGGAAAAGCTGGACCTGGGCTCCCTGCCCATTTGCTCTGAGCACCACTGTCTTAGGGCACAACACACTGAAGCCCATCTGCACACACACAGATGGCTCCAAGACTTGTGCACAAGGAAGCCAGGTGGCGCCAGAGCCAAGTGACAGCTCTGAGGTGAGCCGCTTGGCCAGGGCAAGAGGCAGGAGGCCCTGAGCAGGGACCAGGTGTCCATCTGTGGGACAGCAGCCAGAGGGTGGCAGCAGCTGCCCAGCAGACAGCAGGGGACCAACTCAAACTTGCGTGACAGAGCTGACGTTTGGTCCAAAGGACTCCTGGATGGGATTTACATACAAATGTGGCAGCCTGTGGTGATATTCTGCTGCTTTATGTACTGCTGTCCTATTTTCAGACTTAGGAGAAGGCATATTTCCTTTTTAAAAACATGATATGTGCATGTAGAATCTCCACAAGGATATTTAACAAGACCTTTTCATTTCTATTTTACTTCTGTTCAAACAGTCCCACTCTGTGTTGAAACAAAAGGCAGGCAACTACCAAAGCCCTGAATGGTAGAGGGTTTCCTCCACCAAGCCCAGTCCTCCCGGCCTGAGGAAGGCTTCCCAGAGATGCCTGCCCACGGAGAACCTCAGTGCAGTGACTAAGATGCCATTTCTATTTTGTGTGTCTCAAAATTGTTGTACTGACACTGAATCCACTTAGACCTTATTTATAACATATGTGTGAAATACAAACATCAGTAGAACAAACACCCAACTACCCACCACCTCCCATCCTAAACACAGAAACCCCAGTCCTTGGAGCTTCCCCTCCCCCCCCTTCCTAATTCTCTCACAACCACCTCACCCCATCCCCACCCTATAGCCACTCTCTGGGTGTGCTAATTATACTTGGTTTGGTTTGGTTTGATTTATTATTTCTGTTTTTATTTTATTTCAGTGCTAGGCACAAACCCAGGTCACACATGCTTGGCAAGTGTTCTACTGAGCACCAACCCCAGCCCTTCTTTATAAATTTAGAACACATATCATCTTGGGTGCATTTAAAAAGAGAAACATTTTTATAAATAGAACCATGCCCACATCTTTTGGTTCCTGTGGCTTGCTTTTTTTTTTTTTTTCCTACAACATGTTCCTCAGATTCATCGGTGTCGGCCTGCATGATTGTCATTCATTCCTTTGTGCTCATCTTTTCTCTCCATCCTCCTGCCAGTCCTCCCAGGATGGCGTCTTGCCTTTTGCAGTCATGAGAAAGCTGCTGAGAACATTCTTCTAGAGGTCTCTGGGGACACAGCGATGCATTTTTAAAGATCTATTCATTTTGACCAAATTGACACAAAAATGGTTTGATGAGTCAATCACTTGTGATCAAATCTGGATCCCACAGCAGTGCTGGGAGGAGATCTGGGGTTCAACTTGGTGCTCATAATCCCTTGCCCAGCAAAGGAGCTTGAGATCTCCTCCTGAGCCATTGCTTTGGGAAGGTCTCCAGGTTCACAGTGTTCCCCACACTTTCTCCTTCCCCTGTGCTTCCACTGGCCTTGCCCCGCCAGCCCCAAATGTCTTCCCGTCCCCCTACTCATTTCGGCTCTGGAGGTACATGCCCCACTCCTGCTACCCCAAGCACAGTTGTTTGCTTTTCACTTTGCTTTGAGACTAGAGGTCAGATCGTGGGCTGCTTCTCACACACTGTGTCTGTAGCCTCTCTAAGCCTCAGTTTCTTCATCTTCAGAGCAGGGTGCTTCCAGCACCTGCCTACAAGAGTCAGTATTGAGGACTGGAGGATACTGGAGTACTTGGAGCAGTACCCAGCTGCATTATTAACAAGGGACAGGCATCTTTATCACTAGGCCCTCTTCCTGTCTGACCCACAGGTCCCTGCCCTTAGGGAACACCCTGTCCTTTCCCAAGGACTGGAACTTTAACAAGAGGCTGAGCTTTCTCTTCCAGGTACCTGCCAACCTTATGTCATTTGAGTAAGTCTCTGCGGGACTTGGCGTGACTGCAAAGGCTTCAGGGAGCCTAGACTGGGCCTGGTGGAGAAGAGCTGCCCTGGGCATGGGCTGTGGCCAGGACACTGGGAGCCTCCTAACAGGATTCCAGGGACACGGCCTGTGGCCTCACAGTCCCAGAGGACTCTCCAGTAGGGGACCCATCCGTCAAAATCCCAAGCGACTGTCATGATTCATCTTACAGCACCACCTCGCAGGGTGCTGTTGGACCCTGAACTGCACACCTGTGCCCCTCTCTGGGCCTCATCTGTCCACCAGCCGCTTCTGCCATAGACAGCATTTGGCCCACGTTGGGTTCTCTGTGCTTCCTGCTGCACATGGAGTGGACAGTGCAAACTGCAAGAGGGACCAGAGGGCGGGGACAGCTGCAGGAAGGTGTGTTACACCCCAAGTGCACGGGGCTGTCTGCCCACAGGGCTGCCTCAGATTTTGTACACCCCTGAAGTGTCCCCTGCGTGTGCGTGCCATACATGTGTGCGTGCGAGTGTGAACTCTTTGAGAAACATGCATTTTGGCACTAGACCTGTGACATCACACCCTTCATTTGCTCTGAGGCCCTGCTTTCACCTTTGGTTCCAGCCTCATCCAACGAGAAAGGTCAGAGGAGTGCGGGAGCCCCCATGTTAAGGGTCCCTTGCGTTCTTTTACTGTAAACAAACAATGCCTTAAATTGTGTCTTGTTTTCTGTTCCTATGGGTGCTATTCATCTGGAAGGCCTGTTCCCAGGGCCCCTTCTGGGCCCTTCTGGGCCGTGTTGCTGTCAACCCATCAGAGGCAGGGTGGGGCTCGGGACTGGAGACCTGGCTGCTGGCCGGCATGCTTCCTTCCATGCCCTCTCCTGGCAGAGCCTGGGGCCCTCCTGTTCCACCTGCTCCCACTGTGCCCCTGTGGGAAGTTGCGGCATTTGGTCCAGGTCCTTGGAAGCAGCATGGAGGTTGCTGGGCTCACAGTGCCCAGTGCACAGAAGCCACGTGCTGCCAACCTCCCCGCCAGGCAGGCCCTTGCTCCCATTCCACCCCTTTGCCTCCACTGCCAAGGGGGGCCTACCAGGATTCCTCATCACGCCAGGAGCTGAGTGACACTGAGGCCTTAAGCTCCCCCAGTCTTGCCCCAAATGCAGTCACCAGCAAGTTCTCCATCATCCAAGTCCAAGGGCACAATTGACAGCCATGTGATGAGAGAGAGTAAAGGGTTCAATCTTTACATTTGGTTAAGAGCTGTTTCCACAAACAACAGCATTTATCTGTCACCTTTGTGTCATAGCTTAAAGTGACTTATTTTGCACAAATACATTTTTATTCAAAATGATTGCTTCCCTCCCCCACCTTCTTTTTGAGACAAGGTCTTGCTTTATAGCCACGACTAGCCTCAAACTCTCAATCATCCTGCTTCTGCTACCTGAATTTTGGGATTACAGGTATGTACTACCATGCCCGGCTAAAATGATTATCCTTTATTATCATAGCATCTCTCTATTCCCCTCTCTTTCCTTTATTTTGGATATGCATAACATGAGAAGGAAATCCATAAACAATTTTCTGAAAGGGACAGAATGTCTGGGTCCTTGTTGGTACTGTGGTTTCAAAGCCCACTCTGACCAGGCATCAAACTACCCTCAAGACTTTTGTGGCAAAAGCTTCAATTTAAAAGCTACCCAAGGATCCAACATGGTTTTTTGATCCAGTGGTGACACTTCTCTGAAAATGTGAATGAACTGGTCAGCCAAGTAGTTGTTACTGGGGTGGTACTGTGTGGTTGAACCTTATTGCATGTGGAAGCTATGCTCCTTTGGAGCAAAGATCATATTGTTTGATGCCAAAAGGAACTGCAGATGGTTTCATGGATGGCATCAGACCTTGACCACAGCTGCCTTGTACACTGCCCCTACCAGGGGTCCAGATATGTGCACCAGATTCTACCAACAACTCTTCAAATTGGCATCTAGAGGCTGAGTGACAACACCAAACACTACAGACACCTCTGACCAGAACCTGCCACGGTGTCAACTAAGCAATGTGGATCAGATCCTGTGTGCTCACTTCTAAAATGTCAAAGCTTGGATGAAAGTACAAGACTGGAGCATTGGCTGATTATTTCCTGGGCTTCTCCACTCTTCAAACTCTCCTGGTTTTTCACTGATGAAATATAGTCACCAAACCCACAGCCCCAGAATTTCACACCCCACTAGATCATTTTATTTTCTGCCCTTAGCAGATTTTTCTTATCCTTCACCGTCTTTTATTCTCAGCCTAATTTTGAAATAAAGAGCACAATCACAATTCTTTTCAAAGTGTTTAGTCTCCTCACTAATCAAGACTGATCCACAGCCCTTCCCAGAAACATTCTTACCTTGGGACTCTTAAAGAAATGGCTTGGACTCTGTTGATGAAAACAAAAACACCTGTAGGACTAGAGAGCCTGGAACACACCAGAAAAGTCCTGGAGACTGAACTGAAAGATACTGTACTGTCTAGGCAGGGACTCAGGCCAAGCATGTGAGTTCAGTGCCATGCATTTCCCTAGTGTGGGCTTGGCACCTAGCTGCAGGTGGGGAGGCCTGTGAACCTGGGACAGGGAACCAGGCACAAACCAAGAGGAGGAAAGTCCTGGGGTGGATTCTCACCCCGGAGAGAACCTGCATTGCTGTTTCCCTCCTTGACTGTCCGTACTGCACAAATATCTGTGAAACAATCAAAAGTGTTATGTCTTGCATGCATAGACTATAATTTTCTTTAAGCAAACAGATTGTGGAACTCCATCATGACAGTTGTAGGATGCTGGCTACAAATGGGTAGGTAGCTGGTAGCATTGTTATGACCCCAAAGTAGACCACTCAACCTTCCTCGCCCTGGAAGGAGTCATTATCATCCCTCTTAGTTGGACATGTTTTGTCACTCAAGGTCTGCCAAGCTCATCCCGGCAACTGAAATACTTTGTGAAGGATGGGTTTGGTGGGGGCATTAGAACGGCTGTTTTGCACATGCCCAGTGAGAAAGTACAGAGAGGCCAGCTCCCTCCCCATCCCACACCATCCCACATCCTGTCAGATTGAGGTGCTAAGGAGGTGGACACTTGGAGAGGTTGTTTGCCAACTGATTTCTAACTTGTTTCTCTTTCTTACAAACATGGCCAATATTTCTTTCCTCATCTGATTTCCACCTCTCAAACCCAAGAAAGGTGTATCTTTAAGGATGCGATTTTTTCAAATGAAAAGCTGTCCATGAACATAGGAAATACTTTGCAAGCCAAGCCTGGTTGCTGATGTTTGGAACCACCAGCTGCCAAAAATAAATAAATAAATAGCCTCCCAACTTTTGTGTGACCCTCTGAGTTTAATCAGCCTGCCTTCCACCAATTGTTGATATATCAGGTGATATATCAACAATACAAGAGTCCCTTTGAAATAACAGTTTCCACCCATCCATTCCTTTCTTCCTTTGTGACAGTCTCTGCCCAGGATATATATGACAGGAAATAAGATCCAATCTGTGCTCATGGAGCAGACCACTGAGGAACATAATCCCAAATGCACACACCTCCTTGGGCAGTACCCTGCCTCTCCCATCGACCTAGGTTCAAATTCTATACACAGGTTCTTCTGGAAAGGCTGAAGAGACACAGTCTTGCTCTGTGTCTTCCATCACAGGGAGTTGGGGGGGGGGCTCCTTGGAGCCATTGAGCTAGAGGCCGGGTGGCTCAGAGCCAGGGGAGAATAGAGAGGACTCCTACAGAAGAATGAGAGAGAAGGATTCGAGTGTTCACAGTATTCCCTCCATAGGCTTTTGTCTGCAATGCTAAATTCAAATACAGTATGAATGACAGCTACGTTTTCTTGGGTGTTGAGAATTTATAAGTTGGATGTCAGTCCACTCATATGCGTGTATTCCTGTGGCAGCCCCAAATCCCTACTCAGAGCAGCAATGTGGTCTGTTCATTTTGTAACCATTAATCTCTCTCCATGTCTGAATGACTGTGACCATTCAGTAATGAGATAATAGTAATTAATTTATTAGTATGGTATAATCTTTAATAAATTTTGTGCCAAAATGCATGGTTTTTCACTTAGCATTTAAAATGTTGCGTAGAGAGTAGTTTTTCAATTTCTTATGTATTCTTCCAAGTAAGTTGAAAATCGATTTCTACATTTTAGTTTGTTTCTTGTTAAATCTGTTGCATTCTCCCGGGATGTCTTTTTTTTTTTTTTTAGTTCCAGCAGATCCCTGCATGCAGTTGTGAAAGGACTTTCTCTAATAACTTGTGAATTGTCTCATCCGCAATAACCACTGGACATCAGCCCTCTGTGGGATTCTTTAGATTTTGGTGAAGTATTTTGTTACCTCAGTCTTGTATCAAGTTGCTGTATTTTTCAGCTTGTTACATTGATAATTGTTTCACTAATTAAATACTTTAATGTACAGGCATCTTTGTTTACTTTGAAATTAAATGTGTTTTCCAATGACTATTGCTCCACTTATTAAAGTCACACACATTCACTTAGCAGTTGCTGTGCCAGATGTAGACATGGAGGAGGTACTGGGTACTCAAAGGTCAGCTGAGGGTAACTAGAACATAAGCAACATAGGAGCCGTTCCCTCAGGAAGGAAATAGGGATAGCACTGTGGGCATTTGGGGGAGGGAAGTGGGGACCTGGGGATGCCTTAGAGGGCAGAGATCATTTGAAGATTCAGTTCAGAGATTGCAGGACACCTGGAGGCTGGGCATCAGGAAGACAGCAGTGGGGAACTGGTGGGGGAGGGGGCAGCTGACAATCAAGTCGCTCATATCCTTTAGGTCTGAAATGATACCTTGGGAGGATGTTTGGCTTAAGCCCACTCTAGTTTACTTAAGAGAAAAAGGAAGGCTTATAGGAGCTGTCTAGTAGAAACCCAGGAGGCTCCAGAGGGCCTGGGAGAAGTGAAACACCATTTCAGTCGCTCTCTTGTGGCTGCTCCCCAGGTCTCCAGCCATCCCCTTCGTTCTCCCTTTCTGAATATGAAATTGCAAGGGAGACCAGGTCCTATCAAGGAATGAAAGGCATTGAATCGAAATGATCCACAGGAAGCTTGGGGTCTCCCCTCACCCGCTGGCCTGCTTGGTTTCCCGCCCAGGTCTTCCAAAACTGCAGTGGTGCATCCTCTTCGTGTACAGAAGCCTGGAGCACATGCCGGTTCCCTCGCTGCTACAAAGCCTTGCTAGCTGAAGGTAGCCCCAGCTCACCTCCTTGCGATGTACAGGCATAGCGATCCGGCTTTATCTAGCTGGGTCCCTGCATCCAGCCCACAGGGCAGTCAGTGCTCCAGGGCTCTTAGGCCATGCCTCTGTCTTAGGAAGAGGGAGTGGTCACAAAGTTGGAAATGATAAAACCTGAACCAACCAGCCTGCAGAACGCTAGCCCCTCAGACTGTGTCAGGAGCCATAAAGGGCCACCAGGAGACTGTAACACCTCTTTGGTGGAGAGCGCCATCCTGAGCTGGGGACTTCCTCAGTGGAGCTGAGGGCGGGCATCCTCCAGGCGCACGCGGACAGAGGTGAGGAGAGATGGTGTGGGTGTGGCAGGGAATAGGCGTGGCCCGTGCGGGGCGGGGCCTCTGTGTGGGCGGGGCGGGGCGGGGCGGGGCTCTGTAGGGCTCGATTGCCGAAGGCTTGGGATGCGAGCTGGTCTAGAGCCCGGGTAGTGGAGAGAAGAGGCGGAGCTCCAGGATTGGGGCCACGCCTGTGGGCGGGACGTAGGAAGGTCCGCCCCCGAGAGAGGGCGGTGCCACGGTAGAAACGGACCCAGAGTCTCCGGGTGAGAAGGGGCCGGGCCGCGACACTGAGGGAGCGCGAGCCCGGCTTCGAGGGCGGGAGCCGCACGGGCACGCCGTACTGCCGGGTAGGTGAGCAGGGCCTGGGTCTTCGGTGAAGGGCGAGGAGCGGGACGTGTGGGACCGTGGGAGGGAGAAAGTTGAAGATGGGGTGGGCATTTGGGACCTCTGGGCTCCGCATAGGAGGCAGGACCCCCGCGGGGCTGCACCGCCCGAGGTTCCAGAGGAGGACGTCAAAGTTCAGGGAAGGGCCTGGTGCAGACTGAGGGGCGTGGGGCGGGTTGGGTTAGGGTGTGGGGTGGGGAGGGGCGGGGCCTCAGGTCAGTTAATAGGCATGGGATCGGTGGGCGGAGTTGGAGGCGGGCTGGGGCGGAGCCTGGACCCAGCCGAGGGGCTTAGAGTGGCTGGGCTGAGCTTGGACGGGGCAATGGGCGTGGTCTCGGCCCGCCCGGGGGCGGGGGGGACCAAGGGTCGGTTAGGTTGCAGTTCGGGGCGGGGCTTGAACCGGGCAGAGGGGAGAAGAGGCGGGCTAAGCTGGGGCTCGAGGCGGGGCTAGGGCGGGGCCTGGGCCCGGCGAGGGGCCGGGGCGGGGCGTGGGCTGCGGCGCGGGAGCCGAGCGTCCGGCCGATCCCAGCCGAGGCCCGAGCCCACCCGAGTGTGCCCGAGCCCGCAGCCCCCGCCCGGGGCGATGGAGCCGGAGCCCGGCGGGGCGGCCGCTGCGCTCCTGCGGCAGAAGAGGGCGGCGCTGCGGCGCAGGGGGTGCAGCTTCGAGAGTCCCAGGTACCGCGGCCGGGGAGGGGTGCGGCCTGGGGGTGGGGGACGGGAGCGGGGAGCGGGCCACGTGGGGGCTCGCCGTGCGGGGCCCGGTGCGGCGCGGCCGAGGGTGGGCGGGGGTCGGCGCGGAGCCCGGAAGAGCGGCCTTGCGGTCTGGGAGGGCTCAGGGGGAGGGCAGGGGGCGCAGGTCCGAGCAGTCGGGCTCCCCGTGACCTCTGTCCTGTGGCAGGCCCGGCACGCCGCGGCCCGGGTGGGTCTCGGGCTGTGGAGAAGGCGCCCTGCCCGCTTCTAACAGATGCTCAAGGACAAGGTCGGAGCCCCCAAGTGCAGAAGAGGGGGCTCCCTTCTCCTGGCGTCTGTCGCCCACTGCCACCGATCTTCCCGCCGCAGGTGCCTCCACACCTGCTGCCTCCGTCCCGCCCATCGCCGGCGCCGAGGACCCCAGCCTTGCCGAGCACCGGGGTTCCCTCTTCCTGGCGGACATTTTCCTCTCCCCGGGGTCGCCGGGGCCCCTTTGCAGTCCCCACCCTCGTTACCTGTGGCGCTTCCCTGAAAAGCCCGTCCTGCGCGGTGTGCAGCCTGGACACACCCTCCTCGGCTTGGGGCTGACCGTGTCCTCCCTCCCCCTGCTGGACTCCTGTCCTCAGGCCCTGCCTGTAATCGCTGCTTCCAGATAGACCTATCCCTCTCTGGAGAGCTCCAGAGTTCACCCCCTGCCCGCCCCTCCTCACCCCCACACACTGCCTTTTCCTTACACCTCTTGAACCCACAGCCTACCTGGGCACTGGAAGTGTCTCCTGAAGCTGAGACCTGGCCCTCATGAGGCTGTCTCCCTGAGGAGCTCTCCATCATCCCCAGCTTGGGTGGGGTCTGAGGTGAGGACAAGGAGAAGGACCAGAACATGGGACCCTGGTCCCCAATGAGGCAGAAAAGAGGGTTTACTTTCTAAGATACAAAGGAATCCCGTCAAGACCCCTGAGTGGGTCCTTCTCCATCCTCCGTGCTTGGCGCACTCTGCCCAGCCTTGGTACTCCAGCAATGCTGATGAGACGTGAGCAGGAGACCACGGGCATTCTGGTAGCATCCCAGGCCTGGCCCATCAAAGGCCTTTACAAAGGTGTGTGGAATGAACAAATGTCCAGCAGGCTGGTGGCTCTTTCTTTACACGGAGCTGCTTCTCATGGATGCATTTGCTCCTGTCACCCCTTTTCTTTCCTTACACTATTCTACCCTTTCCTCTTTGAATAGTGCCCATCCCCTTCTCCAGAAAAGTCTTCCTTCAGTGAAGGCTGAGCTGTGTGCTGGGTCAACAGTTTCTGGAGTCCACAAACCATTGCGTGTGATAGTCTGGCTACTACATCTCCCCTTCCTCCACTAGCCTGAAAGAATCACATCAGAATACTCTGGCTCTGTTCTCATGGGGCTTACTCACCATTGTGGCTGGAGCAGGACAGATGAGAAAAGGTATATTAGGAGATAAGATTGAAGAGAGCCCACAGCTAGATCCCTGAAGTAGGCCTGAAGTAGAAGGTTTAGGGGAGCACCGTCCCACAGAACTTTCTGCCATGATGGAAACTTGCAATCCACTCCATCCAGTATGGGAACCATTAGCACTTGTAGCTGCTGATCACTTGAGGTGAGCTCAGCTATGGAACTGAATGTGTACTTGTACTTAGCTCTCAGTGAGTAATGTTTACTATAGTGGACTGTGCCAGCTTACCTTCCTCCCATGTCTTCATGACCTTTTGCGCAGAGGGAATGACTTTCTAGTTTCCAGAGCCTTCTTGCTTCCCATCTCTATGAAGTTATCTTCAAGATAATAGGGATTACCAGATTTGTGTTGGTGAGTGGGAAGTTTGAAAACATATTGTAACTCAGTTGACAAATATCCTTCCATATATCATCTGGTCTTTTTCTTTCATACAGATGCATATATTTATATTTGCATTTTAACTTGATTTTTTTTGCTTAGTATGTCAGAAAGATTTTCCCATATCCTCAAACATTTCTTTCTTTTATTAAAACAATTTTTGTGGGTGGGGAAGGTAGCTCAGTGGTAGAGTGCTTGCCTCATGTGCATGAGGCTCTGGGTTCATTTCCTTAGCACCATATAAACAGAAAAAGCCGGAAGTCTCACTGTGGCTCACGTGGCAGAGCGCTAGCCTTGAGCTGAAGAACTGAGTGACAGTGCCCAGGCCCAGAGTTCAAACCCCATGGCTGGAACTTGTGCTGGGCTTGAACTAAGGACCTCTCACTCTTGCTTAGCTTTTTCACTCAAGAATGGTGCTCTACTACTTGAGCCATACCTCCACTTCCTGCTTTTTGCTGGCTAATTGGAAATAAGAGTCTCTTGGATTGTCCAGGCTGGCTTTGAATCACCACCTTCAGATCCTAGCCTCCTAGGTAACTAGGATTACATTTATGAGTACCAGCACCCAGCTTCTCAAACATTTCTTAAGTATTTTAAGTTGCTGTATAATATCCTGTTGTATGGATTTATTACAATTTGTTTAACTCATTATTTATTAATGGACATGTACTTCATTTCGAGTTTTTTGCTCTCTCTAAAGATTCATCGAATCCATGTGCATTAGTCTATTTAGGAAGATAAGATCATAGAAGTAATGGGAATTTATTGGATCAAAGAAAATGAACATCTTAAAGGCTTTTGAAGTGAAGTGCCAAATTGCTTTCTGGAAAGTTTTACCAATTTATCGTTCCCTCAAGAGCATATGACAAGCCTGATGTATGATTATGTATTTGCCCAGTAATTTATTGTTTTAATTTGGATTTCAGTATATACTGATAAAGTGAACATTTTTTTTCTTTTTTCTTTTTCTTTTTTTTTGTCTTGGGGCTTGAACTCAGGGCCTGGGCACTGTTCCTGAGCTGCTTTTTGCTCAAGGCTAGCACTCTACCATTTGAGCCACAGCACTACTTCTGGCTTTTTCTGTTTATGTGGTGCTGAGGAATCAAACCCAGGGCTTCTTACATCTAGGCAAGCCCTGAAGTGAACTTTTTTGTATTTTCTCTTGTATTTATTCATGACATACTTTTTTGTATTTTCTCTTGTATTCATAATGTACTTATTTTTATAAAATACATGCATGAACTTTGGAATATTTGTCATTTCCTTATAAGATTGAAGTTCTTTGTATTTTTAAGGGAATTAATTTTTTGGGCTAAGTAGATGGCAAATTTTTTCCAATGTATTATTTTCATTTTTACTTTATGGTACTCGTGTGTGTGTGTGTGTGTGTGTGTGTGTGTGTGTGTGTGTGTGTGTGTGTGTGTGTGTGTGTGTGTGTGTGTGTGTGTGTGTGTGTGTGTGTGTGTGTGTGTGTGTGTGTGTGTGTGTGTACTCACACGTGCATGAGCACCTGTAGCGTGTTTTGTAGTTGTTTCTAAATTTGGATCTGATTTCTTCCACCTGTTGTGCTCAAGTTGAAGAAAATTTTTTAACTTTTTTTTTCCTGAGACCAGGACTTGAACGTGGTATCTGATGCTTTCTCACTCATCGGCTGGTGCTTTACCACCTGAGTCACACCTCCAACTCCAGAAAATATCTTAACTTAAAATAGATAAATGTTCATTTACAATTTCTCCAATTACTTTCATTACTTGAAAAAATTACTTCCTTCATTTCTCACCAAAATGGCCTCGCAGCTCTGGCTCTTCTTGTGGAACATCTTAACCATACAGGGGCTCTATTCTGTACTGTGGCCAGTTGACTAGAAAGTGCAGAGTGGCACTGGAGTGAGTGTATGGATGTTCAGAGCTCTGCAGGTGCTTCCGGGGTGCAGCAGAGGTGAGATCTGGCCTCTTCTGTGAGCCTTTTTCCAGACTAGCCTCCCTTATCCATAGTCCTCAGTCGCTGCTCGCATCCCATTGTGTCAGGTTTGTATCAGGTTTAGACTCCACAGCCTCATGTTGAGAGCTGCTCATCTGATCTGGCCATCATCTTATTTAGCAAGCAGAGAAGGGACATTGTTGTGAATCTGGCCATTTGCTGATAAATAACCCACGTTAGCTCCAACCACTGGTGTGTAAACATTAGTGAATATGAAGGAACAAGGAATGGCCCAGGCTCTAGTGTTCTGTCAGGTGGCAGTGAGGAAGACTAGTTGGGACACTGATGACATGAGACAGGACATTCACACTTAGACAGCTGATACTGGACTTGTTCACAGGAAATTATTAGGAAGACAAATTGGATTCACAGGTAAGGCCTGTAGAATGAGGTTGACCTATATTAGAGTCTCTGCCTTTTCACTGGTCAGCTCACACTGGTGAACCTGGCCAAATGGCTTAAACCCTCCCCAACCTTGCTTAACTTGCTTGTAAAGTGACCTATACAGACCTATACTGATGTGAGCTTTAAATATATGCTAATTCATGCAAAGTGCTAGAAACAGTGCCTTCAGGAAGCATTACTAAACGATAGCTGTGGTGGATGAGGTGGATGAGAATTGTCAACCATACCTATCTTAAGAAATGTATCTCTCGCCTTTTTTCCCCTCCAAGTGATCAAGAAATTCAAGTAATGAACCTGAATTATTTTAAATTATTCATTAGTTGCTGAGCTGTGACCTTTTGGCTGCAACACCTCATGGTGACTAAGCCACCTGGGAGCCCCAACACTGACAGGTTCTGTACAGGTTCTGTATCAGTGAGACTGAACTTAGCAGGCAAGTCCTAAAGATCAAAGACTCTCAGTGCTGAATGGAACTGTGGACCCCACCTAGGTCGACCTGTCAGACAGCGGTCCTCAAAGTGGGTCCCTAGGCCCAAAGCAGCAGCATCACCTGGGAACTGTTAGGAATTCTCAATGAAAATCTGAGGGTGGGGACTCAGCAGTCTATCAGTGTGTGAGCACCAATGCTCTGGAGTCTAGTATTGTAGTTTGCAAAACTACACACATAGGAGGAGGGCTATTTAACCCACAGCTTCCTGGGCAGAAGGCCAGGGAAGTTGGGATTTATATTCCAAACAAACTTACAAATAGT